GCCCAGAACATGACTATGATGTTGACCAAGAAATTATTTTGAATGACACGACTTTGCGGCTCGAAAAAAGGCATATTAAAGCTATAAAAGCTGCGGAAAATACTCTTAATAATGAAAACATTCAATTTTCAAAGAGTAAGTTAAAGTTATTATTTTGTTCGGGCCTCGAAAGATCAAATTTACATTTTTTATTGTCATGTATAAAATTCTAATTAGAATTCTAGAATTGAATATTTTATAAAAAAAGTGTAAAATTACAAAAATCGAGGTCTGAACCTTTAACATAAGCCGTGTAAAAGATTTTCTTGATGGTTTCTTTACTTTTCAGATAATCCTGAAGTCGAAAATTTGATTATAAGTTCAGAAAAAGAAAACTTTGACGGTAAGGAAAAACACGCTAACTCTGCCTTGGATATTGTTAAAGGTATTTACACTTTAAATTTCATCGGTAAAATTAATAAGTTCATATTTTGATGATTAAATGATCTATTTCTCTAAATTCAGAGAGTATGCAATACGTCAAGGACGAATCAATGGCTAGGTTAAAATTCCATGAAGTGAGAGTACAGCAAAAAATAAGCCCGAATGTGAATGAAAATAAACACGTTTCACCGAGGAAACGCACCAATGAAGCCTCAAACGTTGGTGAAGGTAATTTAAAACGAAAATCGTATCTTAGCTTTTTTAAAAAAATATTCAAAAATGTTTTTGTGCTACCCCAGCCTAATGTAACATTTTTCTCCCGCCGAGCTAAGCTAAAATGTTACTGTAGTTTGGGGATTCACAACAAAGTGTTTTTGCACCTATGTAGTGAAAGAAGAAAGTCTCGAAGCCCAGTTTCGCCTCGGCTGGTAAATTACACCTGCTCTGAGTATTTCACTCCCTAGGGGCAAAATATACTATTTTGTTTGTTTTTAAAATAAAGTAATTCATAGACGCGTAAAATTATCATTCGAAATTTACCCGTTTTTTCATAGAATCATTCAACGTGGTAGAAGGAAGAAAAAAACCTCGCATTAAGGAGACGATAATAATAGAGAAAAAAGTACATCTTGAGCGCTCTAAAAATTTAGTTTGCCCACAGAATGACTTTAACATTTCAAATGCTGAATCTGATGTTCATTTAAGTATGCCAGAAATCAAGATCAATAAAAATAAGAAAAATAAAAAAAATAGAAGAAGAAGGAAGAGCGAAAAAAATAAATTGGAGCAAAACTAGGTCTAATATTTTAAAGGTAATAAGATTTATCTTATTACTAGTACATAATTAATATTTTGACGTTCAGCAATACTTGCTGATTAGAATAATTTCCCGCTTCGTTAACAAATTAAGAGTCAATTAAAAGTGAAGAGTTTGGAAAATAGTTAGAGAAAATTTTTAGAATTGTCATATTATGTTTCAAATTTTTTCCAATTGCAGAGTACAATTTTTTGTATGTAACAAAATTGTTTTACAATAATTCTTCCTTGATAGCTGAAAGGGTTATACTTAATAAATAAAATGCTGTAGTTGGAGTGTCTGTAGATTCGCATTTAACCTCAACATTGAAAGTAGTTTGCAGACGTGACCTATTAAATTGGGTTATATTTCCTGCTACTTTTAAACAGCTTTATTCCTTCTATTCTCTATTGCTTTGATCTGAGTTACAGGAACAAAGTGACCTATCGGAAGTATGGCCAAACAAAGATAAGGTTATATTGTCCAGTGACTTAGTGTTAGTGCGCTCGTAGCTTTTTTCTGTGAGGTGTTAAAAGATGAAAGTGACCAACGAAAGTCTGGTTATAACATCATTGAAGCCAAACAACCACTTACTAACAAAAAGTATAACTCTTTTAGTCATTAAGTACAGAATTTTATATATTTAATAATAAAAGCATACTCAATTTTCAAAGTGCTCACGTAATTCTTGAAAAAAAGCGAATCAAATAGGACTCATATCAGAATGATCAATGTAGGATTAGGTATTTCGAATATTTTTTGGAGCTATCGTGATGACCCTTTGATCGATCAAAGATGATTGGGTCATTCAAGCTCTCAGAACACTTCCTCAATTCGATGCGAAAGTATACAAAGATAAGTAAAATATGATACTAATAATGGTTTATTTAAAATCCAATGTAGGATCTGGTATTGTCACTGTGATTTAGAGCTACCGTGATGACCCTTTGATCGATCAAAGATGATTGGGTCATTCAAGCTCTCAGAATACTACTTAATTCAATGCGAAAGTTTACAAAGATAGGTGAAACGGGATACGAATGATGGTTTATTTAAAATCCAATGTAGGATCTGGTAATGTCACTGTAATTTAGAGCTATCGTGATGACCCTTTGATCGATCAAAGATGATTGGGTCATTCAAGCTCTCAGAGTACTCTCAATCCGCGTGTGTGGTATAGTAAATTAGGAATCAGAATTAATATTTATACATATTTATGAATTTTTTTTGTCGTATAAAACAAATAATAGTATTTTTTTTTATTGATTTGGATTTTTCTCGCGATGTATTTTTTTCATGCAAGTCTTTGCTGTTTGTCTTTTAATATTGATTACGTACTAATTTACCCTATTTTCAGGTTCAAAAAATGTTAAGATGACATGGTGCCAATCGCAGTATTCGACAATTTTGATGTTATAAAAAGTTTATTTATTTTGATCTTCCATTAATGTAATTCCGTCATCAATGTATTAAATTTTAATATTCATAATATGTATACGTCATGTACTAGATTAAGTTTATTACACAAAAGAGAATTTCGTTTCATTATTAGTTAGTATATTGTTTATTTAGTGTGTTTACTGAATGTTATTTGATATTTTATTGGTATAATATTTTATGACATTCGTGTATTAAATAATTATAGTTCAAAAATCGTAGAAATAAAAGAAATAAAGAGTCATAATGCGTATTAAATCACTTTTCAATTAAATAATTTAAAATAAGTTTCAAGGATATAGTGTCGTGTTTAATCTTGTAATTTTTTGTTGTAATATTTTAAAACTACTTACGAATAGTTGTCTTTTAGAAATGTTCAGGTTTTCACTCCGTATTAAGTATAATTGAAAATAGGGTAAAGTCTTTGAAAAGTTGTCCTTTGGGATCTATCACTAGCCCTTTAACATTCATATGTAAATTTTCAACATCCACATTTTATATTCAAAGTATGCCCGATAAATACACTCAGAGGCCATTGATTTGGTCAGATGGAACAGAGTGGTGGAACGAGTATAAGCGTGGAAATTCCATCGTTTCACCTGACAGAATTAATGTCTACTTAATGGACGAACATTTTTTCGTGCCACTCCGCGCTTTCTTCGAATAACATTGAAACTTTTAGTTTAAATCTTATTCGGCTGCAGTGAATTATAGATGCATAGATGGCGCCAGGTCCTTGAAATTACAATATTATAGATTGCATCGTTGATTGATCCTAAATCATAACTCAAGGATCGCCGTTCGGTGGTAAGCTCAACAGTCATATATGTCCGTAGTTGATCTACTAGACAATTAAACCTGAACTTTCGTGTTTACAATAAAGTACCGACGGTTTCTATTTTGAAAAATTCGCATAAATTCGCATTCCGAAATCTTACTATTCCTAATATTTTTTTCCGAATTTTTTCTATTCCGAATTTTGACGTTTCCGAATTTTTATATTTCCGAATTTGTACATTTCCGAATTTTCTTTATTCCGAATTTTATCCCTTTTAAAAGATTATTTTCCGAAAAAATGTTTTTCCGAATATTAATCATTCCGATTTCTGAACAACGCCCCCGCAAAGTGTCGAGTTTTCTCGCTCAAAATCATAAAGGTTAACTTCGAGTCGCTCATTTGTTTTTCCATTCACGCTCTGTTCGCAGAATTCGTCATCATGCAGAGACACGTCCTGCTGGCCCTCGTACTCGTGGTGGCTCTGCTCTGTCGGTCGTCGGACGCCGGCCTGATCGGCGCGGCCCTCTGCTACTCGGGCTGCAGCGCCGTCGGCGTCGCCTGCTTCGCCGCGGCGGGCTTCGGCTTCACCGTGCCCGGGGCCGTGATCGCCGCCACGCCGGCCCTCGTCGCCTGCAACGCTGCCCTGGCCAAGTGCATGTCGGTCTGCACCGTGGCCGTGGTCGCGCCCACGCCTTGAACCACGCGCACGAACTTTTGATTTACTTTTTTTTTTGACTGTAAACTATCTTTGCTTTTTACAATTTCACTGTGAGTTACTTTTCTTTGTGAGCATTTATGGCAATCGTTGTGCCTTATCAATCATTTGATCGTTTAAATACTTATGTTTAATCTTTCGTATTATCCACCGAGTGTAAATTGTTGATTGCCTATGCCTATAATTAAAAATGAAATAGTTTAAGAGTATTCATAAAAATGTTCTCATAAATATTTAAAAGCCCACCGATTTTGAGTATGATTCCACAAATTTAAGGGCTATCTTATTTGTAAACAAAAAGTGAGTGCCTAAATAAATATGACTTTCTGATGAAACTTAAGCTATGAATTTGATCGAATTTCTCATTAATTCTAATAAAACTAAAAATACCTTTGTTAAATAATCTCACATTGAATTGAATACTGACATAATTCTACATTCGTTTAGATTATTTAGACTTTTTGCGATATATTAGAAATAATTCAACGATAATAATTAATACTTCAAGGCACTATCTTTGAGGAAAGCTACAGACGAATTTCTGTTTCGCCGTGATTTAGGTGTTGTTTTTTTCAACTCTATCTCATTTACAATCAGTCTTAATTTTAAACAATAGGTAATTTTTAAAAAATTACCGATAAATTAATATAAATACGTATGAGTGATTGCCCAATTTTACAATAGCTCTCTTAACCAGTATCGTTTGACCGTAATGTTTGATTTTCCTTTTCTCAAAGATAACTATCATTCTTCACCTTGAATCTTCGGAAAAAAACACATTACTACGTTCAATCGTCAACGACAATTCGGCAAAACCTTGACTTACATGACTAATTTTGTCGCTTGCGATCGCTTGTGTACATGTGTGTGCGAACTTCAAAATTGTTTCAATCTAAAATCTACAAGGAAATTATCATTCCGACTTCGAAGCTTGTTTCACGTGCGGCAATCTCGTTGTAATAGAAGACAATAGCCGGTAAAAGCTTTTCGAAGCGCGACGTTTTGGTATGTCTTAGATCGATACAATTGATAATTAACTTTCGCAGCTGAACGCTTTTAAAATACCGGCGCCGTAGATAAAGGCGCGATACACAGATAATACGCGTATAAATTTTGACTACCGCCAAAACATTGACTTCAGTTTCGTACTTTGCTTGCGCGGCGCGGGGACTCGCTCACAAGTCGTTGTTTAGTTTAGCATAATAAAGAAAAAAATTATTTTATCAAAAATGAAACTCGTACACGAGATCCTCTTGGTTGTACTGGCGATCATCGGCGTGGCGAGCGCCGGGCCTCGTGGCCGCTTCTACAAAATGGCCCAGGGTGGCGCTGCCCCCGCCGGAAGACATCCCTATCAATGTTATCTGCGATTCGACGCACGAGGATTGCAGGACGATCTGCTTTGCGGAGCATCCGTGATCAACGACAGATATTTACTGACGGCGGCTCATTGTGCCGATTAGTGAGTTGATCGATCATGACAAAAAATAATAATAGTAAAAACAAATTTCAAAGTACATATTTTTGTTTTGCACCCGCAGCAATTTGGAAAAAGTCCGTATGGAGGTCGTGTGCGGTGCCACCAATCGCAAGAATCCAGAAGCCCTCGGCGTCTATCAGGTCGAGCAGCTGATCCAACACGAAGGTTTTGAATTGGTGAGTATTGAAAATTGTACGAGTGCGACAATATTGAATGACTATTTATTTTTCAATTATTATAAGCTTGGTTTGTTTACTCAATTTAATAGAAATGTCAACATTTATATCTAAGCACAAACACAGTAATGTGTATCTTCTTGTGTGACTTAATTAAAATATTATAAATACTGTGTTTGCGTTTTCAAGTTTGTAGCAGCTAATATAGGATTTTTCTCAGATATTCGGTTAATTTTGTACAATTTTTATCGAATCAAAAATTGAACGTACGTCTTTTTTAGATCAAAGGTACGACTGAAGTAGCGGCGAACGACTTGGCCCTGGTGCGCGTGTCGAAACCGATCCAATTCAGCAACAAAGTCAGGCCGATCGAGCTGGCCACGAAACCGATCGCACCCCACAGCCAAGTCCACGCGGTCGGATACGGCTTCACCATCCAGGTTCGTATATTTGTATGATTTTTATTTAATTTTAAATTTAATTAAATTTTAATTTAAATCGTATAGGACCAAGCGACGCAAGAGCAGCTGCAAGAGGTCGATCTCAAGGTCGTGGACAGAGAGACTTGCCAGGCCAAATGGACGGCGTTGAACATTCAGCTGAGGGACGGCATGCTGTGCGTTGCCGGTGCCGTCAAGGAGTACGGCGACGAGCTCAGTTTCAAGGGAATGTGTCCTGTGAGTATTTTTTTTTTTTTTCATCATTTTCTCGTATAACGCGAAAAATGTATGTCGAATTTCACTGACTTGACTGTCTCTCGTCGAACGCAGGGCGACTCCGGCAGCTCCGCCACGGCCAACAACGTCCTGGTGGGCATCATGAGCGCAGGAAACGACTGCGGAGACAGCTATCTTCATCCGAACATCTTCATGGACGTGTCTTACTACAGCGACTGGATCAGAGCTAAGATAAAATCCAACGACGAGAAGTTGAAAAATTGACCGATATATGGAGTTAAATAGGAAATATATTGTATAACTGTGTCAGCTAATTGACGCCGATTAGTCAATTTCGTATTGTTATTTTGTGATGTATCGATTAAGAAACTTCAAATTAGCCTTGACGCAAAACAATGCGCAGATAAGTTATTGATAAAAAAAGAAGCATTGAGGAGCTGAAAAACTTTCATACGCGTGTGTCTGCTCGTTATATTTTGAAATTAATTTACGACATATCTTTGTTAGCTACTAAGTAAGATATATAGCTCTTTATGCATAGAGCTATCAAAATTATTTAACAGTAACAAAAGGAAATTTGACAAAATTATATAACTCTCACGATAATGTGCATTTTAATCGTATATTTATTTCTGAAGCCTCAATTTATTTCAATAGAAATTATCGATTTCATAAAGTTATTGTTATCGCAAACTTCCATTTGACGCTCACTTAAGGCGGATATGATTATTATTTGTAAAAACTTAATCCGATGCATTGAATTAAGATTGTGAGCTGATAAAAGCACCAAGAACAAAAATTTTTTGGTTTAAATTGAATTATGAAATGGTTTACAATTCGTTTTTTACATCAGAACATTTTGTTATTACCGATTACATCTCTATAAGCAGAAATATTACCATTAGAATCATATGACTGCAATAAGTTCGAGACTTTCGTATATGAACAATAAATTATTTATAAAAATTTTATCATCATCTGACGTGAGAATGGATATTGCGCATTATAAGAATAAGAAAAAAACTCTAGAACGTTTTTTTAAAGAGTTAATAGCAAATCAAACTATTATAAAAAAATTTATTATCATGCTAAACATGATTTCCATACATTTAGGTCATATAATTATAAACAATAAAATATCTCTAATGAAACTTGATCCAGAATATATTCTGGAAGTCAATATATTCTAGAATTGACTATTAACATTCACTAATTTAAGACAATATTCTTCTATATTTTTGAGACTTTGTGTCTTCTCACATTTTTGTGCTACTTTTTGATGATATAGCAAGTTCGATTTTTGTCCGAATTTTTTCTCGCATTTTTCGCACGGGTAATCTCTGCGACCTTCGTGTATTGTCTTTTTGTGCAAAAGCAAGCTCGATTCACGCGCAAATTTCTTTTCGCAAATGTCGCAAGAGAAATTTTTTCGACCTTCATGGACATGGACAGTCGTTTTATGCATAAGCAAACTCCGTTTACTTCGATATTTTTTTTCGCACTTTTCACACTGGTAATCTTTGCGACCTTCGTGTGCTGTCCTTTGATGAGAAAGCAAATTGCTTACTGCTCCAAATTTCTTCTCGCATTTATCACATGGGTAATCTTTGCGACCCTCATGGACCACCTTTTGGTGTCTAAGCAATTGCACTTTTTGCCCGAATTTCTGTTCACACTTATCGCATGCGTAATCTTTACGACCTTCGTGGACTGTCTTTTGGTGTCTGATCAACTTCGTTTTTTCTCCAAATTTTCGCTCACATTTGTCGCATGCAAAATCTCTGCGCCCTTGATGGACTGTCTTTTGATGCATGAGTAAATTCGACTTTCGTCCAAATTTTTTCTCGCAAATATCGCATGAGAAATCTTTTCGACCTTCGTGGATTATTTTTTGGTGTCTGAGTAAATTACATTTATCTCCAAATTTCTCCTCACACTTGTCACATGCGTAATCCTTGCGACTTTCATGAACTGTTTTTTGGTGAACGAGCAAATAAAATTTTTGTCCAAATTGCTTTCCGCACTTGTCACATGCATAATCTTTGCGACCCTCGTGGATTGTTCTCATGTGCAAGAGCAAACACGATTTTCGTGCAAATTCCTTCTCGCACCTGTCACATATGAGATCGTTGCGACCTTCGTGAACTGTTTTTTGGTGTTTTATCAAATTGCTTTGGATCCCAAATTTCTTCTCGCACTCGTTACACGCGTAATCTTTGCGACCTTCGTGGATTGTTTTTTGGTGCACAATTAAACTCGTTTTTTTTGTAAATTTCTTCTCGCACTCGTCGCATGGAAAATCTTTTCGACCTTCGTGTACCGTCTTTTGGTGAGTGAGTAAATTATATTTTTTTCTAAATTTTTCCTCGCACTTGTCGCATGCAAAATATTTGCAACCTTCGTGAACTGTCCTTTGGTGTCTAATCAAAGAACTTTGCTGTCCAAATTTTATTTCACATTTGTCGCATGCATGATTTTTATGCCCTCGGTGGACTGTCTTTTGGTGAAGAAGCAAATACCATTTTTGCCCAAATTTCTTTTCGCACTCGCCACATGCAAAATCATTGAGACTTTCATGTACCGTTTTTTGATGTTCGAGCAAATGCGATTTTCGTCCAAATTTCCACTCGCATTGATTGCATGCGAAATCTTTACGACCTTCGTGGACTGTCTTGACATGTAAAAGCAAACTCTGTTTGTTTCCAAATCTTTTTGCGCACCTCTCACATAAGTAATCTTTGAATACTTCGTGGAATATCTTTTTGTGCTTGAGTAAAGTTGATTTATTTTCAAACTTTCTCTCGCACTTGTTGCACGTGAAATCTTTACTATCTTTGTGGACTAATTTTTGGTGTGTAGACAAACTCGATTTTTTCACAAAATTCTTTTCGCACTGATCGCATGCGAAATTACGGCTTTTGTGTTCTAATATTTGGTGTCTACTCAAATGACTTCGAAACTCGAATTTCTTCTCGCATTTATCACACACGTAATCTTTTTGTTCATTTTGAATTGTGTCTCGGTGAGCTAAAATATTTGATTCTAGAGCAAAAGCCTCCAGAAAAATGTCCTGTTCCTTTGGATTATTTTCCGAGACAACTTCCTCGAATTTCTTATCACTTTCATCCATTTGAAGGTCTGAATTAAATGATGGTTCTTTTTATTTAGTTCCACAAAAATTGAATGAGTAAAACTTTTATTTTGGTATTATAGCATGTTACATCAAGAAAGACAAGAATCAAACTAATTTGTTCTACTATGAACATAATAAATGTATTCGAAGAAAGTAGTCAAAATTGTTCACGATCGTACTGTTTACAATCAAGTAACCGATTTATTTATTCATACATTTTCCTTACAATAATTGAATCTCGTTTTATATTTCAACGTGTCGACAATATATTTGAGAAATTTTTATGGGCTTCTAAAACAAACTTCGTGTAACATCGTGTAAATATGTATGTTATTGAAAAATTGTAAAAATTTTAACATAGTAAATCAGCGTATTACAGAAATATTTATTTAAAAAATGTTCAATATCTTACGCATCTCTCATTCTGAATATGAAAACTTTAAATTGCTATTGGTTCGTTATTGTCAATTTAAGAGGACATTCTACTTGTATAGATATCGTATGTATCGTATGTGCTTTTATTGAGCAATACAACAATTTTTATTACATTTATTCATTTGAATGATATTACAAATTTGAAAAACTTGAAATAATACCAGACATAAAAAAAATACTGCAAGCAAATATACGCTCATCACATCACAGGTTTTGCCCGGTAACCGCCAAGTAAATGCGCCACAAATCTTCGCTCATTAGCTTCTCGATGATTTTATCACAGCATAAAATCGGTAACTGGTTGTGCGTCAGCTCTAACATAAAATCCAGCGCCCACGGCTGGAAAATTCCTCTCAACTTTATCTCAAGGAGGTGTACAACATAAGCATCTTGAAGCTTTGGTTCGATTTCGTACGGAGATTTATTACACAGTTTCAAGTAGTCCGTACACGTGAGCAGTTTCGCGGCCTTCTCGGGTCGCAACTGCAACAAATCGTAGAGCTTCAGACTCGGTTTAACCATGATCTCTTTTGCCCATTTTACGAACTTCTCGTTGCTGCGTAGATACTCGTCGAGCCCCGGCGTCTGCTTCAACAATCCGTACTGGGCGAAAATTTTCATGATCGTCGAGGCGGCGATTTGGTCGAATTCGTATTCTCTTTCCTCTAGGTAGTTGACGATTCGCATCAGATCAATTGGTAAAGAATCTTTGAATTGATCCTCTCTATATGCCCTTATTAACATTTCTAACCCGTCGGCAAAGTGAGTCTCAGTGGGGAAAACGAAGCTTGACACATCGGCGCCACGATCCAACAGAAATTTTACCGTATCCGACAAGCAACTCACCACAGCCCATTGAAGTGGTGTCCGACCTAATCTGTCTTTGGCATCGATCTGCAACGGCTGATTCGATTTGTCACTGTGCTGAAATAATATCTTCGCCGCTTCAATGTTATCCAAGTGTTTTTTGCAAATAACATGCAGAGGAGTCAATCCTTCTCTGTTGGACAAATTTGGATTAGCGCCCATGTCCAACAGTCTATGTGTCGCATAATTCTCATCATCATCAGTACTAAAGGCTAGACTCAAGTGTAGTGGCGAGTCACCCGTTTCTCGCACGAGGAGATTAGGATCCTGGCCGAGTTCGATAAATTCATCGATGTATGCATAGTTATACATGCAGGCCACATGGAAATGCGTGAGACCGGATTCGTCGGCGTAATTCACGTCGTATCTGTTGTATATTTCAAAAAGTGGAGCGATTACGGCATCGCTAGTCGCATGATGCAGTGGTGTAGTGCGGCGCCAAATCGGCTTACCGTCTTCACCGATTTCGGGTTCGTCCTTGTAGCCACTGCGAGCCACGAATTCGACGAATCGTTTTTCTTGAGAGATACGACCGCATTCGTACTTGTATCTTTTTACCGAATCCATGAGAAGAAGCTCGATCTCTTCGGGCCGGAAGATGTCCCGGAGATCGGGAAGTCGTTTCTTCCAAGTCTCGATCAAAGGGTCGACTCGACAGAGAAATTCGTGTCGTTGTTCTTCGATTTCCCAATCGACGATATTCTCTCGTAAGCACTTCAATTTTTCCAATTTGAGTTTGATCGCGTTGTCGCAGTCGTCGTCAACCATCGTGCCGCGCCAAAATTTCACGAAAAATATCACTGGCTATATATTATACTGGATCGATACGCGATATTTCTTTGTTTATACGCTGCGACACGACCGTCTGACCGGCGATCAGGTAAATATGTATAGGAGCAAAACTTGATTATTGAAATATTTATCATAATACCTTCGATATCTCCATTCGAATCTCGCACTTGGAATACGACGTTGCGCGCGCATCTCGGCACTCTACAGTTTCGATATGTGCAGTACAGCAGATATTATAGCGCGCGCAGGGGAATCCCTCAAAAAGTATACACTCGCCTGGGTGTACATTGTTTCGATGCGATATACTTCAGTCGTAGTTAGTTCGCCAACATCGCAACGTTCCGTCTCGCGAGAGTTTGTGGTAAAAAAAAAGTTCATTTTCACAAAGTAAAATTTTATTCTCACACCGAAAAAAATCTCGGAGACAAGCCCAACAAAAATAGGACGGCTGGATCAGAAAAAGATACTTTGCTGGTCGTAGCAAAAAATTTAGCAAAATTTAGCATCGAAGTGTAGCCCAATAATTTTACTGCGGCAATCAAAGCATCATTTTCCGATCCATCTGTCCACTTTTGTTGGAGTGGCCTCTACGATTTTTTTTCAGGACGCGTAGTTATATTTGATTAAAGATTTATTTTCGGGAAGTGATTACTGATGTGCATTTGTTTGACTTTTGCTTTTGTCAATCTACTTTTTCATTTCAAGAATGTTTTGTTTGGACTCTGTACTGCATAAAAAGTATCAAACTTATTATATAATATTGCTTTCTTCCTATTTTTCAAACAGTAGAATAGAGAGCTAAAAATTCATAAATATTTTTTCAAAAACGCTATTTTCAATGAGGTGAGCTGCAAAAACTCATTAATGTGTGATTTCTATATAGTAGTTATCGTGTGAACCTTTTCTAGTAAATTCTCAATATCCATACAATATAAAATCATAAAATAATTCCTAAAAATCGCTCATTCTTTCTTTTTTTTACAAAGTAGTGATTCCAAAGTATTGATTAAATTATAAAAAATTCAAATTTCCGCATAGATCAGTATCATGGAGCAAAAAAAGATGTTGATGTCTCTGCTCGTCGTCGCATTATTGTTGCTGCAGCAGCCCAACACAGCCGACGCTATAGGCCTGACTTACGGCATCTGTCAAGCTGGCTGCGCTTCTGTCGTCGTCGCCTGTTACGCCGCAGCCGGTGCCACATTCGGAACTGTGGTGGCTGCCGCCGCCGCTCCCCCGGCCATCTTGGCTTGCAACGCAGCTTTCGGGTCTTGCTCGGCAATGTGCGCGCCTCTATTGGCGTCACCCGTTTGAATTCGACAATTCTCAAAAATTGTTTTCATTGATTTTTTTCTTATCTAATTATTATTTGTCTATTTATAATCCATTCGTTGTATTCACAAAGTTTGTCTATTAACTTTGTCTGAACATCACCTGTACTCTACAGCATAATAATTTTTGTATTACAAATAAATGTTTGTCGTATTATAAACGAAGATTTATTTTGAATTATTTCAAAAATGATTACCTTTTATCCATCGTCAAACGAAGTTAACAAATTGTTTCGAAGCACTATCGCCGTTGGAATGAATTTTGCTGAAAATTCGCAAAATCTTGAATTCGAATTTCGTGCCAAAGCGACACTGTAAGTGCGCATTTCGTCAGATCTCATAATGAATAATACAATGCAGAGCTGCGTGAAAATGGGAGTCCCACAAAAGTTATATACTCACCTCGGTATACATATGTTTCAATGCGATATTCTAGTCGCGATCAGTTCGTCAATGCGTTCCAACGTCTCGTTATTCCAGTTTATGGTAAATAAAAAAAAATTAAAATTTTAAAAGCACTAAATAATTAATATACCGCTGTTACAAATAACGATATCTCGAGGTATCGATAAAGGCGAGTGTTCATTTTACGATCGAAATTTTCGCAGAATTAACAACATGCAGAGGAGTAAGCTCATAGCTGTACTTATCAGTGTGACGTTGCTGCTGCTGCAGCAGCCCGATACCGCCAGTGCCGGACCGGTGGCTTACGGCGCTTGTCAAACTGCCTGCAATTTAGCTGCTTGTGCCTGCTACCCAGTGGCCGGTGCTATATTCGGCACGGTACTGGCCATATTCGCTTCACCAGCGATTCTCGCTTGTAACGCTGCTCAAGCCTCGTGCATGGTGGCGTGCGTCCCATTATTGGCGGCGCCCTCACCCTGACTTTACAACTCACAGCATCCCAGTGATTTTTCTTGCAATGTGTGCGATACAGTTGATCATTTTTTCGTGTCGTTGCAAAAATTGTTTCTCTTTATGTTTGGGATTGAATGTATTAAAAAAAATTACGGTTCAAGATAAATACTCTGAAGGCTTATCTGCAAAAAATGTGAATAAAGCTTTCAAGTACCTTTTTTTGATGTAAGATGATGAGCTTGAATAAAAATTTGTTAAAAATCAAAGTCTTGGGCATTTATTGGAATTATATTTGTAAGAATATTTTTTCTTTCATAATTTTAAAAGCTGTTTTCTATGGCTGAGGAAAAATATAGGTTTATCTATTCTCGTACGAAAATTCGCAAAGTCTTCACTCGAATTTCGCGCCAAGGGACATGAAAGCGTGCGTATCTCGGCCCTCCACAGTTTCAACATCTGCATAACCGATCATTAGCTATATAACGTGCAAATGGGAATCCCTCGTACCGGACGTGTTATGCTTGCCACACTATAAATGTTTCTATTGCGTATCAAACCTGCCAGTCGCAATTAGCTCGCAAACGTCGCAACATTCTGGATCTCGAACTTGTGTCGCAGAAAAGGTACTTACAATTATAGAGATAACAAAAATGTAGTCGATACAAAAATTTATAAAAAAGTAAATGAAAGAAAAACTGTACTTTCAGGTCGACACAATTTTAACCATTATGTGACTTTAATGAGTCACTACACACAAAAACTCGTGAAGTAATTTGAAAAATTTGAGAAAATAGTGTAAATAGCCATAAAGCCGAAGGAAAGAAAAAATTTCATGCAACAGCTACATCTCGAAATCTTTTTCGATTCAAAGGTACTTTTTATGACGAGCATACATTTTTTCCTCAAAAATCAATCTGTCAAAGCACGTTGCTGATATTTCAGAGCACGTACGGATCGATAATAAAAAAATTCATATCATGCCCAAGCACGTACTTCTGGCACTCGTAATCGTCGCGGCGTTGCTCTGTCAACGATCTCAAGCCATCGGGGTGTCGCTCTGCTGCTCGGGTTGCAGCATCGTCGGCGTCGCCTGCTTCGCCGCGGCGGGCTTCGGCTTCACCGTGCCCCCGGAGGCGTAATCGTCGCCACGCCGGCCCTCGTCGCCTGCAATGCCGCCCTGGCCACGTGCACGTCGAGATGCACCAAGTGAATGTTGCACAGAACTTGGATTTTCATTTTCTTTGTACCGACAGTTATTCACGAAAAATTGTTAATAATTTTAATACGTGTGCGTATATAATTTTTATGAGTCATAATATTTAGTTCTTTTAAGTAATTTGTGGCTGCATTGTTATCGCTGTCTATTATTTCTTATTTTTTTGTGACACGTATTATGTTGAATAAATTGGAGAATTATGACCCCGAAATGCAATTATTACATGGAAACAACCGGTCGATAATTGATTGCAAAAAACGAACACAAACGTATTATCGATCCAAATCCATCCCGTTTAAACTTTTCATGCGAATACACGAAATAAAAATTGAATAAAATTAATTACTCTGCAGTAGTAATTAATTTATGATGCACCACAGTAAATTTATTTATTTTCAATGTAATCCTCACTGCATTACAGTAAGTGATCGGTATAGTCGGCAGCTCGTTGCACAGGCAGACAGTCGCGGCTGTCAGAGTTTACTTTAGGTCAATAAATGAGATTGCTTTATTCTTCAAATTTGATTCACTTCCAGTTGAATTTTTTATTTATAAAATCGTTATCTAAATGCATATCGGATGTACCATATTCCGATTCGATAGATGATTGTAATTTGTGATAAAAATCTAAAAATCTAGAATTTCACTGAAAATTGTAATTATTTCGAACCGATCTACTCTCTTCATTATCAATGAAAAAAAAAATCATCGCCAAGTGTTGCAACTGTTCAAGATAGCAGCGTGTAAATTCACCAAAGAAAATTTATCTCCCGACTATTATATGCATTGTGTGCTCATACGCTATACAACATTTATCGTTCGGCGATTAAATTTCTTCTGCCGCGGGAGGCTTATTACACAAAACAAACTCAACCATGTCTCGTGTCGTGTTAGCCGCGCGTCGTGTACTTTTTGAACTCGCCGCTCCGCGGCGCTTCGGCACTTGTTAATGGACCGCCGCTGCTGCTGCCAAACAAGCTCAGCAACTACACTGCTGGGTTTTTCGATGCGGCTTATATGTCCCCGCGACTGTGTGCGAATGTGTGTGCGAATGTGTAATAGCGGCGGCGGCGGCGGCAGCAGCAGCCAGCCAGCAGTTAGTTAGTTGTTGACCGTGTGGCTCAGTGTGTACAGGCAGTCAGAGAGCGTCGAGAGCGTCTGCCGAGCATCGCATTTCGGCCCGTGCGGTGGTGTTTGTTTTCGTGTGCTTGTGTGCGTGTGTTTGTCATCCCATTTTATACATTACGAGTATCCCGAATAATTTTTGACGCGATAGCCCGCTGACAAAAATGTCGCATCAAACTGGTATAAAAGGTAATAACGATCTCGTTACTGTTGCTCTTACCGTTAGTTTTTTTTTTCATTTGCTGCTTTTTATCGCGTTCGACCTTTCTCGCGATGTCATCGCACCGTGTCGACGACGAAGCAGCTGACGCGCGCGGCTCTTCGGTTATATACACGCGTGTATGTGTGTGGGTTTTCTGTGTTATACACGACGATTAGGGCGGCTTCCCGACACGCAGCTGCGAAAAAATTTCGAGTATCGTTATACTCGTTGATACGTATAATCGTATTAATTCTCTATTTTATAATTTCTTTTTTTTTGCAGCTAACGACGCTTTGAAAAAGGTCTTCGCCAAGTGCAGGGATGGCAAAATTCGCGTCCTCAAAGTTTCCATCGAGAACGGTGAGTTTTGTTTGTTGCACAAATACATCCACATATATATGCAGCACGATCTATTTTCGTTGGAGCAATTAAACTCCGACTTTCTCTGTCTCTGTCTCTCCTCTCTCTCTCTCACCTCTTTCGCTCTCGAGAAAGAGGCTCCGTTACTGACGAATGTAGTGTATTTTCGTTGATATATTTCGGGAGATTGTTTAATCAATATGACGCATTTGAATTATTGGGGAAAAAATCCACTTTTAATTCGATATACCCGACGTCTCGTGCGTGTTATGCATATACTGATCATGCTTGACGCATGAGCGCTCATGCATGGAGAGAACGTTTTTTTTTTTCTCTTTACACAATCTAAAGCTCTTTGCCTTGTATTACAGAGGAACTCGTTCCGACTACTTCCTCCAAGCCCGTCGGTAAATGGCAAAATGATTACGACAAAATGGTCAAGCCGCTCGTCGAGGAGAATCAACCAGCTTATATACTCTATCGTCTGGACACCAAGTCCTCTGATTCAGGATACGACTGGTTGTTGATATCCTGGACCCCCGATACAGCACCAGTCAGACAGAAGATGTTGTACGCTTCCACCAAGGCAACCTTGAAGCAGGAGTTTGGCTCTGCTTCTATTAAGGAGGAGTTGCATGGTACCGTACTGGAAGACATCACTCTGGACGGCTATCACAAGCAGAAGAAAAACGATGCTGCCCCTGTTCCACTCACGAGCGCTGAGGAAGAATTGGCAGAAATGAAGAAAAGTATCGTGCACACAGACTACAGCGTCGAAACCAGACATCAAACTCTCAGCGGTATAGCTTTCCCTGTCACGGATGAAGCTAAGCAGGCACTGACTTGTGATGACTACAACTATGTGCAATTGAGAATTGACTTGGACGAGGAGAAAATTCATTTGGTTACAGCTGCTACAGATGTATCCATTGACAAATTGCCAACTAAAGTACCTTCTGACTGTGCTAGATATCACTTGTATACTTTTAAACATACTCACGAAGGAGATTTATTATCATTAAAAGGTATTACATTATCTTCTATATTTTTACAGCGATGGAGTATCAATTTTTATGTATATTTTTGCTTGTAGTATTTATATACAGTATGCCAGGGTATAACTGCAGTATTAAAGAGAGGATGTTATATTCATCTTGCAAAGCACCTTTAATCGAGTTTATAAATTCTCTTGGAGTGGAAATAGCAAAGAAGGTAGGTTTTCACAATTTTTTTTTAAGTGTACCTCTACTTTTCTAATGCATGTTTTTGTTTCAAAAAAAAGTTCTTTCAATTAAAAATTTTTTTTAAATTGTACTTGATTTATTTAATTAGACTTTGATTTTGAAAAAATATTCAGGTTTATGGTTGACTGTAATTGTAAATATATTTTCAATATAGATAGCTAGTCTTGAATAATTCCAAAAAATTAATACAATTCAAAGTTTCATAGTTGATAATCAAAAAGTATAAGCATAAACAATTTTTTTACCTAACTAAACACAACTGTAATATACACAATAACGCAGTTGGAAGTGACTAGTGGCGAGGAGTTAGGCGAAATACTGGAAGACTCACCTCTCGAAATCCTCTCGAAAAGTACGGGCCCATCGACCCCGGCTACCCCGGGTACGCCTTCGACGCCTTGCGGTCCACCGAACTCGATAAACCATAAGAACCATAAGAAATCCAAGCCGAAACGATCCTGCGTTATAAGTTAACTAGGGCCTTTGACAATATATATTTATTGAAAAAAAAGCACAAAATGAAAGAACAAATTTAAATGCCAATCATTGCCAATCAAATAATCACGAGGCGTTTTTTATAAAGAATTTTCGATTGAATTTAACTTGTGATAAAAGATGATGAAAAATATATATTTTACGCGATTATTCTACAACGGTATCATAGTAATAATATGATGATAATTAATATTAAATACGTGACGACCTAGATGGAATTGTCATAGACTCAATTTTTCGAAATAGCTTTTTAATAATGAGAATGAGATTCAGCTATACAAGTGATACTATTGATACTAAATATTTTTCGATTTTATTGCATAATAATGAAAAAAGTAGACTAACTTGAAAATATTTTTCTGAATTTTTCGAGTCTTCTCATACGCCATATAATATGTATATCGTACGTAATATTGAAAATATTTCATTGTATATTTCTACCTATAATAACAATTGCAATATTTTTCTGAATTGATATGAGGTTATCAAGTAGGAAATACGTACCAATTAAATAGATATTTTGAGATCGAAATAGCCTGACATAATACTTGCGTTTATGATAAACATAAAAAAACTCGTGTTCGATTTCGTCTTGATTTTAAGACGTTTCCGTAAGTTACTACTGTCATGTTGATGTGATAGTTAATAGTTTAATTGTTATAATTGATAATAACAATAACGTTGACAAATGTGCACCTATTTTTTTATTTAAAACAATTTCAAGATAATTTACCAGTGCTTTTTCCTAACGCACAAGTTTCACTTTGAGCAACTTCTATGATTTGTTTTTTAATGATTAATAATTGAAAAAAATATTCATGTCCTTTTTTTTCTAGTCTTGCAATTAAGTGATATTTGAGCTTGTAATATGGTCATGCATATATGCTTGGCTGAATAATTAATTTTAAATTATAAAAATGAAATGTTTTGCATGACCGAAATTTCCTTATATGCTTGCACGCATAGAACTACGTGATAAATAACGTATAAAATTTCGAAGAGTTTGAGTCAATTTGTTAAGTATATTTTTACTTCCAGACTAAAACAATGCGAGTGAAAAAAGTCTAGTTTACTACTAAAAATTAATTTATATCTTATTCCAAAGACGAATTTTGCCTAATTGATTAATTATTGAGTTAAAAATTTTTTTTACATAGTTGATACAAATTGTTCACACCTGTCACACAATAGAAGAATAAATTTTTCATCTGCAATGTGTAATATATTAACATACCAAGTTGTAATTCGCGCACTTGTTGCAAATGACATACTATTTTATTGTTTATTGTAATTATATAGTAAGAAAAGAAAATCTAATTTATGTATTTGCCTGGTTCATCCATAACATTCCAAATTTGTTTAGACTAAGTGAAAAAAAGTAGATTTGTGTAGGCTATTTTTTAGGACATAATATTGTACGATTTAAATAAAAGCTATGTTTGGGATGAAGATAATAATTCAGAAATCAAATAAAATTGGATATAAAATTCACAAAAAGTAGTTGTAAAGTTAGATATAAGTTCTTTCATATATCTGTAACAATTCAACTAATTTATTCATTAGTTAGCTTAAAATCTTTTTTTAACAAAAACAAACCTTTTTTGTTACTAATAGCACTTTTGAATTTAAATTCACCTATTTTAACTTGCTAATATTGGGATTTTGTGATAAATTAACACATGTGTGCCTGGGGCTAGATTATTCTTACATTTAAGAGGGCAATACTTGCTCCAGGCCTATTCTGTAACATTTGTTAAATAAAGAAATATTATATATTCAAGAGTCTAACAAAATTATGTTCTCAGAAAATAGTATTTCAGAGGTAATACTTTTTGACAACTTGTACATCTCAGTTAATGATACTTTTGATATCTTGAAAATAAAGTTGCAAAATTTATGAAAACGACTTGAATTTCTTTCTATTCCTTCATCACATATTTAGTAAATCGTAAACAAAATTTACAAAATGGGCCTGAAATTATTTTAATTATCAACTACCTAAACTGATAAATTTCTTTGTTTCTTTTCTTTAGATTGAAATTGATGATGGAAATGAATTGACGGAATCTTTTCTTTATGACGAGCTACATCCTAAAGTCATTTTGTATAAACCAAAGTTTGCAAAACCAAAAGGTCCACCTAACAGAGGTGGAAAGCGTTTAACAAAAGTTCAAGAAAATGAACCAACAGAGTAAATCTTTTGGATAGTTGTTTCATTTATGAGAAAAGAAAACCTTTGTTTTAAATAGTAATGATTTGAAGTATCAAAATCATAATAATTTTGTAATGAAATTTTAAGCAATTTTTCAGTATATTATTTAAATCTGTATTCATTGAAAAGTTTTAAGTTTTGTTTTGAATCAAATGATGTATATTTATAGATTTCTTTAATTGATTTGAAAAGAAATTGATGTTAGATAATCATCAGGCCTATTGTAAGAATGTGATCTTTATTATACAATCTATGCTAGTTTAAAAAGATTGAATAATTAATCTTTAATATTATCAAAAAATATTTATACTACTTTATATATTAAATACAGCTAGTAAGAGATTTGTAATAAACATGTATGCTCTGTATGCATGCACTCAAAATATGACCTTTTTTTACTGCAAAGATTATTTATATGTGCTTAAGATTGAATTATATTACAAATAAAGGAAACAATCAGTAATGCATTTTCACTTCTAATGAAACTATTTCCATAAACAAGAGAAAAATATATTTAACATAGAGTATGTACAAATTATGTCAACAACATCTTTGATCAATAGCTATATACAAACATAATCATTACGATTACTTTTTTTCGGGGAGCATATCTTTTTTCAAACCTTCCATTGTCTCCGACATTATCTTTTGCTTATATGCGTTAGTTACAGCTCTAAAAATAAATTCGAATTAGTTGATTGCAATATCAAAAGTATAAAATTAAATAAAAAAAATAAACATACTCTTCTCTCTGAGCCCAAATTTGGTACTGCAAATTTTTAAAATCTTCTTCTGTCATGTTGAAACCTTTCAGCACCAAAAACCTGAGGCCTCCGTAAATAGATCCAAAGAATCCTCCAAAGACAGCTCCCGAAACCATACCTCTGAGACCCAGAGGCGACTTGTAAACTGCTCCAGCCGCGCTACCTCCAAGAATGTAAAACAGTATCGAGTGTTTGTTGTAATACGCTTGGAGTCCGGTTGTAACAACTCTGAAACATCATCGAGGCCTTATAAATAGCGATCGAGAAATACCCTTTAAACACAATCATTGCAATCGGGGCCTCACGTGTAAGTCACCGTGAAGAAGGTGACCTTGGGTCCCCACGTGTTGGCACCCTTCATCAGGGCGATGAACATCTTGTCGGACAGCTGCCTCTTGGCGTCCAGATGGCTGCGGAACTGGGTGGCCTCGTTGGTCTCGATGAACTTGATGAAGGCCTCCCTGGACTTCATCACGCCCCCGTAGAGACCGCCGACGATGTAGGAGAACACGGCGGTCTGCACGACGTTCACCAGGTCCGGATGAAACGTGTAGTCTTTGCTGAAGCAAAGACGGAGAGATTGCGTCAAAGTGGCGACATGAGAGGAAAATCAAGGTAAAAGAGAACTCACTGCTTCTTGAAGATGCTGCGGATCCTCTGCCAGCCGGTGGCGTCGGGATCGTAATGGGTGAGACTGTCGCGGCCGTCGTCGTCGGCGATCTTGTCGTGGGGATTCTCCGTCTCGAACAGGATCGGACTGAAGGCGAGCACGCCGCCCCGGCCCAGCACGCGGAAAATCATGATCGCGTCGTTTCTTATTCTCGCGCAATCTCGATTATATATTTTATTATTATTTTATTTCAAGGGTGGGTGTTAAAATCCGACCGGCAGCATGTTATTTCACCAGCAGACAGCTACACACGGCACAAGTTTGGCACGACGCGCGCGCCGACTATCAACGCGAAATAATGATAATCGCAGCTGACGCGCGAACTCGGTCGGTAACGTTGTACGCGCGCGGGAAGATTTCGCGCGCGAATCAATTCCGAAGTAGCTGCTCTCTCGGGGGAATTTCGATCGGTAAAAAATCGATACGAGATATAACGGCACTGCGAGCAGCACTCTCGAGAACCAAAAAAAAACGCTATTAGGGAGTCGAGCAGCTATATATGCGGTATATAATAGCCAGGTGTTGGATCAATGGGACTCGCGACGATAAGGCTCTTATCGAAGCGCGTGCTCGCGCTGTAACTCGTATAATACCTATCTAGCAAAATTTGGCAACGAACCAAGAATGCGCGCGGATCAACAGTTGGTCTCGGCATACACTACACACACACATACGTACATCCTCGAGGGCTCGTTTGCTCGCAAAGGGGGGTGGTAGTGATGTATAATATCGCGTAATATCGTCGATTCGGAGGATTAAGGATCGCGACGCGCGCCTCGAGATATTTTGCATATCGCGTCGCCTGTATACCTATGTATACATGAACGATCCACCCCCGCAAGCGCGTAACGGTACGTGTATAAGCTATATATACTCGTACTTGGCGCGGAAGGATGTAGGTAATGTGCGCCTGTGTGTGTGTGTGTGTGTGTGCATGTACGGTAGCATACGCGAAGGATAGTGCCGTTATTGTATACCTGTGTGTAATAAACGGCCGCGAGAATTGACTCCATGGGGGTTGCATGTGTGTGTGTGTGTGTGTGTGTTTATACATGTATATGTATATAATGTGCGAGCAATATGTGTATACGCGCTTGTATGTGTGTGTATATATTAGTAAATTGAGCGCAGGCGCGTCACCATTGCACAGCAGCAGTGAGCAGTGAGCAAGCAGGCAGCAGCACTCGCAAAAGCAACAGCAGCAGCAGCAACAGCAGTAGGCCAGGAGGAAGGAGCTTTGCTCTTCAAAGCTCTCTCTCTCTCTCTCGCGCGCGCGGAGCTTTTTTTTCTCTCTCTATTCTTCTTCTTCCCCCCAAGCAGCAGTAGTAGTGAGTAACCTGCGTCTCGGTGAGGGTTCGCCAGCGTCGTTACTACTGAAAAAATTACTGCCTCGCGCGAGATTCGAGTTGTATACATATCGACTTTTATTTTAGTTGAAATATAAATATATATCATCCCGATAGCGAGTGTGCAAGTGCGAGCGAGTGAGTGTGCCATGCAGCCAAGAAGGCGCGAGGCTAGCAACAGCAGCAGCGGGACGGCAGCATCGTACTCCGCGCACGACAGACCCAAGGATCCTTAAAGGAGCGCACAGACACCTGGACTATACACTCATATATATAATCTCGTCGAGTCGGAATATTAAGAGTGGAGCACAGCAACGGGGGATACGCTCGGCTAGACTCAACGAGTACTACTACCATACATATACTGCACAGCAGCGTGTGTAGATATATCTTCGCGATCGATCGAGCTTTTCTCACGCAAGCTCGAGCGAGCGAGCGAGCGTCGTTATATATAAAAAGAGCGCCGTTATAAAATAAAATACCTGTGGCCAGTGAGTGTGGTGAGTGTGTGTGTGTGTGTTCATGTGTGCGCGTGTGTAAGTGCAAGTTGTAAATTGCATCAACGCTAAATTTCATTTCACTATAAAAAGAAGAGGAGCCCCAACGAGAAGAGTGTGAAGGATTTTCCTCGAGTGAATTCCTTGCACCCCCGCAGTCAGTCAGTCATTCCGTCACTCAGTCAGTGAGTATATATAGATAATATAAAGTATCACACACATTTATAACGAGGAGCACGACGACTGCTCTCTGTGACGTTCGTGCATGCATACACACACACACAGTACATACACAGCACAGCACACAGCTGCCCCGCGAACGCGCAGCCATTGCAGGATGTGCGCGCGAGTGCGTAAAACCCGCGCTGTACATTACATATACGTATACGTACGCAGTGTGTGTGTGTGCTACTACACGTATACACGAGTGATTCACTTCGCACGCACACATCTTTGCGCACGTATAGTCGAGCATGTGTATCAAACGCGCACGCAACGCGATCGAAGGATCGCAGCGCGCGCGCGGGGGGTGCAGTGCGAGCTTTTTTCTCTCCTCCTCCTTCTCTCCTTTTTCGTTCGTTCGTATACGAGATCCTCGTTATAAAGCTCGGTGGGGCTCGCGCGCGAGCGATAGATCGACGTCGTCGTCGTCGTCGCTTTTCGTTGATATAATCCCGTCGTCGCTTAATACAGCGCTCGCCGCAGCCGCAGCCGAGCGCGAGCTTATGCCGGTGCAGCTGCTGCTGCTGTAAGCTCCGTTAGACGCGACAGAGACAGACTGTAATCGAGCTTTTTTTTATACAGAGGCGTACATAAATCATTGGGCATTTAAGAGCGCGCGTGTATTAACGGCCGCGCTGATTCGATTAGGTGCCGCGACGTGGATACACTCCGGGCAATTTGCCGAGGCGCGCGAGCTTGCAACAAGTATATATAAAACGAGGGGCTTTATTCCGTATACATACACATGCATTATACGCGTATCAGCGCGGCGGCGATCAATCGGATAAATTACAGTGCGCGACGAGTTCCGATCATCGACGTTTCTGTCAATGATTGTCTCTGATCCACCTCCCCCCCGCGGCTTGTGTGCGTACGTACATCAACGCACCGCACGGACGTGGTTAATCCCCGTGGATAGGGACACCATCTCTCGAGCTTGAATAATATATTAATTATTATGTAGGCCGTGCTCAGCATATTTGTCCGATTTTATCCTCCGTCTAGTATACGAGTCGCCTCCTGCGCAATTCGTTCAATTTTAATGAGTTTCCTTGCAAACGACTACGACGACTAGCATCGTGTGTATATGCAAATGTGCTCGTGCATGCATATGCACAGCGATATGTGCTACGTATGCAATATTCCGCTACAAGCGCGTGACCCCCTTGTAGCACACGTCTAGGTGCATACATATACGTGTTGCAATACATACACAGAAACACACACACATATATATAGGCAAACGCATTTATGTGGCTGACCTGCAAAGTGGACGGAAAATCGAGTGGAAGTTGTCGGCGCTCTATATATATGTATACGTGTTTGTATATACGTAAACTTTCGTAGTTTCTATGCCAGCAGCTTGCCACTGCAATCTATGCTTTGCTATACAGCAGCAGCTTGCCAATGTACCAACTCTCTCGTTTCGCACGGGATGTATACCAGTCGAACTTGGTTGGGACGCGCGTCGTTATTCGTTTTTGCGCCGATATCGCCTTGCTGCGCCGCGACAGATTTTCGATTGCATTTTTCGCTGGCTTCGTCTCGTATACATTCTACACTTTTACAGGTATTAATGTACGAAAAGAGAAGAGAGAGAGAGAGAGATAGGTAGAAAAAATGAAAATTTCAGAGCATGAGCTATTCGATTGATTCATAAAAATGAAATCCGTCCTTTATATCCGAATGTCTCGATCGCTTCGATCGCGTGTTTACATTTCGAGCCATCTCGCGTTCGTACTATCGAATTAACACGGCGACGCGGTGTGTCCCCCTCGACGCGCGGAGAATTTGTCCGCTCGACGATGTTACTGCGCGCATAAGTCGATATCTGCCAATGTCACATGATACCGATAGGACGAATGTGAAATTGGTGGAGGTAGGGATTCTTGAATCGAATGTAGTTTAAAAAATTTTTCAAAGTTTCATCGCTCTTATAGAACTTATAGAAAAAAATCAATGAGCAGCTACTTAAAAACAGCATTTCAGAAGGGAAGCCTCGAAAAAACTCCACGTCAAAAAAAACGAGAGTTCAATCCTTTTTCTGTTCGGTGGAATTTTACTTCAACTCATTTTACGATCTTTACACACTCGGATCGATATCCAAGCGAGAGAGAGACAGAAAAGAAGTTTCACTTCGAAAGCAGAAGAAAAAAAGGAATTAATCGAGCAGAAAAAACACGGCTCGTCGTCGTCGTCGTCGTCGTGTTAATCGAGATAATCAGCTCCGGGAGGCGGTTTCAACGGCTCCGCTCGCCTCGCTTCGAAGGAACGTATACTACGTATTATTATACATAGCCACTCGTCGTCGTCGTGCGCCTCTCGCGCGCTTTAACAAATTTTCTTTTCCTTCGTCGCTTTTTTTTTATCTTCCGTGTGCAGCTGATAATGGCCTCGAGTGTATCATCCGCGGCGCACACGCGCTCGAACTCGGTCACGAAAGAGCGGCGCGCGCGGACAGCCGTGTACATCCCTCTTTTTCGTAATTTATTTTCTTTATTCATCTTGCTGTTGTTGTTGTTGTTGTTGTTTTATTCTTCTTTTCCTATTAAAACTCGCCCCAACGCGGCAAATATTGAATATGCTAAAAGTGACGTGTCGCTTTTTTTACGCTCTCTCTCTGGAACTTTTTTTTTTTTATTTTTTTTTATACCCGTGCATCCGACGCAAAGCGATTAGCCAGTAAGTTTTAAAAAGGCTTTGTGTACACCAGCGGCAGCGAGTTTAAAAAATAAGCCAAAAAAAAACGCTCTCGTCCACCGGGAAATTCGAATCTTCAAAAAAAAAAAACAACAAAAAATTACGTACACGCGAGCTCGTATAATAAATTTATACACAACGACGAAAATTCGATCAAAGGCCACTCGAATTACGATATCAGCAACGGGACAGCCCTTCGAATTCAATATGGAGCGCGTAAACCCGTCTATACATACGTTTCGCGGGATTAACGACAGCCTAAGCTTCTTCCATATAGCGTCTGTCGAAAATGATCCGCGCTAAACTCTCACTCGCGCGGATGTATTATATATAGCACCCTTGAGCCGCACAGAGAATATATAAGGAATCAACAAGTTGGTACTGTATCGCGATACCGTTCCCTGTTGCTTTTTGGCTCGAGTCGACTACTCGCACACACAGACGTACATTTAGAGAGATTGACGAGCGAGCGGAAGTAACGCGATTGTCTCTCTCTCAAACTTGGCTTAAAAGCTCCTACGCGCGTCCACGGTCATTATACGCGAAAATTTCCGTTTTCCCGCTAGACCTCGATGGGAGGTGTCCCTTTTACTCAAGTCTGATGAAAAAAAGAGGAAAGAAAAAGAAACTAACCAGAGAATCTCGCCGAGAAAAGACAGCAGTAGTGCGGGTCTATACAATGCGGGCGTCTGACTGTAAGCAGACACGAACTACTTGCTGCGATGCATTCCGTAATATATAATATCGTATCCGTATCGCGCGGAGATACACCCAAACTTTCGTTTCAATGAGATTATCTCGCGCGTGCCGAGAACAGAGAGAGAGAGTTTCGTGTTCGCCTTCGGTAAATATATAATATTGCCTTTTTTTTATATCTAATATACATAACGTGTTTATGTGCCGCAAAACGCTTACTATTTTCATATGAGGCATGTAATAAAAACAACGCGCGGTCGGGATAGGATAAAATCTACCTATTCAGTGCTGGAGGTCTTAAACGAGAAATTCATTTTTTCATACTTTTACAGCCTAACACTGTAAATGAAAAAATTTAAATAATTCAAGCCTCCTATTTAGGCTCTCGATCGATTCGTCGTATTTGCCTTACTAATTCGTATTGTGCACTCAGAATTTTTCAGTTTTATAGTTGGATTCATACTTAGGCAATTCCGGAGCTACAGTCGATGCGATATTTTTTGCTGTTCGCGCGTCTTAATGATTACTGACCAACCTCTTGTATTCCAAGATCTATGTATTAGGGTAAAAAACACGTGGGCGAAGTTGCAAAATTACGAGAAGCGCTGGCTATACTATACAATGCTTAGCATTAGTAATGGCCTAATGACTAAAAAACAATCATTTGAAATATTTTAAAATGAATCACTATCAATTGGCTTTTTTTTATCAATTATTTTTTATTTAATTATGTTGCAAATATTAGGCGCATTTTAAGTGACCAGAAAATAACAATTAAATTATTTCAAAAAATTGAGACCAGTTTTCAATCACTTTTAATACGATGATGTCACTTTGAGCTTTCGACGCTAGATGACGAGTACCTTTAAATCTGTAAATCTGCAAGTGGCAGAGTAAACCCAACTGTATAAGTCAAAGCCCGGTTTCGTAAAATTTCCAGATAAGTGTATATCTTTTCGAATCGTCGAATCGTCGAGCAATTGGAATAATTCATCGAGCGCTCCGCGCTTCTTTCTCTCCCGTCGTCTTTCGCGAATCTTAATTCGCGCTTTTTCGCGGGCTTATATCCGATACACACGGGTACATAACGGACGTGTACGCCGCAACTCGCTGCTGCTGGCTCGCGCGGCCTGGCCCGCGGGGGGCGCCCCGACAACTACACGTCTATAATATCGATTTATCGGGAGAACCTACTTTCTCGCGCGCGCAAACGTAACGAATCTTCGCCTCGCGATGTATACATATATATCGCATCATCCATCCGACCGCCGCATCCTATTATTAACGTGCAAATAAACTTCGACGTCGTTCCTCGTCGTCGTCGTCGTCGTCGTCGTCTCTATCGGAGTCAACGTCACTGATTGCGTCGACGTATTGCGCGACTGAGTGACGTATTTACCTTGCCAATACGCAGCTGCTATACACGTGCATAATGGCATCGTCATTAATATCTTCTCTGTATATGGGTCAAAATAATACTTTTTTACAAAACCGTGCGCACGTATGTCACCGATCTTGACGCGCTTTTGGTATGTTATAGTACATGGTAAAAAGGTCCCAAAAAAAAATTTTTAGACCCCCTCCCCCCTCCTACTCCCCACTTCCGGTATGAACGTCCATTTTCGATCTATATTTTTTCTGAGGACATGAAGCAATTAAAAAATCTGAAAAAATTCACAAAAATACTTTTCAATAATCCAAACCACCTTGAATTTTTTCAGAATTTTTAAGTGCTTCAGGCCTTCAGAAAAAATCATTGAAAATTTTAAAAATCGAGGTACGGCGATATGAGCCGATATAGTAAACGGAAATTTTTTCAGTTTTTTATTGCATTGAAAAACATAACCTCAATTTTTTTCAGATTTTTTCAGATGACCTAACGCACCTTTTGAAGCAAAAAACCGCTTTTTTTGACGAAAATAATTTTTTTAGGACGATACGGAGCCTCGAAAAATCTGGAAAAAATTTTTTCTTGTTTTTTTCATCAAAATACATAACCTCAAATTTTTTCAGATTTTTTAATTGAAGGCGATAGCTTCTAGGGCCGAAAAATGCTATTTTTAACAAAAAATGGTTCCTAGAACCCGATGGTTCCGGTGAAAAAATTTGAAAATATTTTTTTTGAATTCCTTGTCAAATTTTAATAAATTTTGACCGTTTCAAAAGTTCGATTGAAGCTTCCTAGCTCATTTTAGAGCATCAAACGAGTTTTATCATTCCTTAATGTCTTCAGAAACGTCTTCAGATATTTTGCACTAATCTTTGTCCTGCTCTAAAATGAGCTAGGAAGCTTCAATCGAACTTTTGAAACGGTCAAAATTTATTAAAATTTGACAAGGAATTCAAAAAAAATATTTTCAAATTTTTTCACCGGAACCATCGGGTTCTAGGAACCATTTTTTGTTAAAAATAGCATTTTTCGGCCCTAGAAGCTATCGCCTTCAATTAAAAAATCTGAAAAAATTTGAGATTACGTATTTTGATGAAAAAAACAAGAAAAAATTTTTTTCAGATTTTTCGAGGCTCCGTACTGTCCTAAAAAAATTATTTTCGTCAAAAAAATCGGTTTTTGGCTTCAAAAGGTGCGTTAGGTAATCTGAAAAAATCTGAAAAAAATTGAGGTTATGTTTTTTAATGCGAAAAATAACTGAAAAAATTTCCGAGTACTACATCGGCTCATACCGCCGTATCTCGATTTTTGAAATTTTCAATGATTTTATCTGAAGGCCTGAAGCACTCAAAAAATCTGAAAAAATTCAAGGTTGTTTGGATTGTGGAAAAGTATTTTTATGAATTTTTTCAGATTTTTTACTTGCTTCATGTCCTCAGAAAAAATATAGATCGAAAATGGACGTTTATACCGGAAGTGGGGGGTAGGAGGGGGGAGGGGGTCTAAAAATTTTTTTTTGGGACCTTTTTACCATGTACTATAACATACCAAAAGCGCGTCAAGATCGGTGACATACGTGCGCACGGTTTTGTAAAAAAGTATTATTCTGACCCATATATATACGCGAGGCATTAGTATCCGCACGATGTACACGAGTAAAACGATACCTCGTTGTTTGGCGTTTCGTGCCGTGCGATCGCGCGAAATTAAATGAGCTTACGTTCGGTGTCGCAGCGATGCAATAAAAAAATAACAACAACAAAGAGATGAGAGGGAGCGACAGAAAAAAGCTTTTAAATATTCAACTGGCGTGTATCGATGTGCTCGTTGTATTTGCGCGTAGCAGCGAGATGCAGATCGACGTTCGGCGATGCGTACGCTACATGTATACGGGAGCTTGCAAGCATAAATAAACTTTTATCTCGCGACGCGCAGAACTCGCGCATCGGAAAACATCGTTTTTTTTTTCATTTTTTTATTATCTCTCTCTTTTTTTTTATTTCATTTTCTTTTTGTACTGCTGCTGCTGCTGCTGCTTTTGCTCCACTATCTCTCTTGAAGCTGCTATATGCATACAATCAATTTATCCTGCGCTGCTTCCTCGTCGAGGAAGCATGCTGAAAATTTCCCTCTCTCTTTCTCTCTCTCTCTCTCTCTCTCGGATATTATATTTTCCGCGCGTATAATCATTCACGGTGCTCGATGAAATTGGCCTGTTCGAAGCAGCTCTTCTTTCGCAGTTGCAATAGTTTGTGTGTATATAATATATATTTATCATCCGCAACGATGGCGAAGCAAAAACAAGCTCTATTATAACAAGTTTATGTACACGGGTGAATCCCTCGCGTTTATTTCAATTGTTATTTGTAATTGTTTATTTAAAGGGTTGAATTTCGTATGAAGCACAGGGTTAAAAAAAGGCTTTGAATTTAATGTCGATTTGATGAAAAATCAGACATGAAAATTGAAGTAACCGTTACAGAAACTTTGCACACAAAATGTACGAAAGTGCAATCGCGTACATGATTTATAGAGCTAAAATGAATAAAATAGATTTATTTCTGTTTTTGAGTCGAAACATTCTGATTGAATGTAATCAAAAATTTTATGAAGATTCAATCGTATGTAACGCCAGCTTCCACCGCTAGACGGCGAGGTACCTTTAACTGTGTAAATCTGCATGCGGCAAAGTTAAAATAATTGTATAAGTCAAAGCAGGTTATATATATGATCATGTTGTGTTCGGAAAATTTCGATAAATAAATCACATACATTATGTTTAATGCTCAAGTGAACGAATTGGATTTAAGTCTATTCTCAAGTCGAAACATTTTGATTGAATTTACTCAAAATTGTACGAAGATTCATTTTTAAGAAAATCCAGCCTCCATCGCTAGATGGCGAAGTACCTTTATCTAAAAAATTGCAAGTGGCAAAGTCAAAATAATTGTATAAGTACAAACAGGACACTGAAACAATTACGTATTATTTGTTGTTACTATTTGTTGAGAATGAAAAGAAATATAATAAAGCCTGTTTGAATTCACAAAAAAAAAAATGAACGTTCAAGTATTGAGCATTACATAGAAATGTATACACGTTTCCCAATAAAATAGCCACAACATTAAGTCATCACGTATCGCCGTAGGATTCACCCATATACATAAAAACAGCGCGAGTCGTCGTAGTCGCTGCCAGTACCATTATTATACATTAAACTCTCGCAGCCGATCGCGCGCGTTTATCTTTGCTCTCTCTCTTCCTCTCTTGGCAGTTATGAAATGTGTGCCGCGTCGACAGCAGCAGCTGCCGCGGCGTGCGCGGAGGGATATGCAATTTCGCTCTTTTCTTTTCATTTAACCGTCGTCGATTGCGCATTCCATTGTCATCGCTAGCAGCAGCCCCCATGACAATAGTATTTTTTCCTTTTTCTCTTTTTTTTTTCATTATACGCACACATCCGCGTGCAGCACAGATATGCGCAGCCGGCGCGGCTCGCGTTGAAATTCGAATTAATTTCCAAGGAGAAGCTCGATGAATAATTTTCTCATTATACGTCGGGTCTCCAGCTATAATAAGCATTCGATTAAATTAAATATAACGGCGAGCTTTTAAATTATAATATCGTATATACACGATCGATCGGAGATCGAACTTTCTTCTCTCGCGCGTTTTCGGTCCGACTACTTTCGGCTGTATGCGACGATAACCCGCTCGTCGATGACGGTACCTCTCGAGCCGCGTGTGTATTTTTTCATTCCGCTATTTTTTTTCGCTCTCTCTCTCTCGACTTGGGGAATAAAGTATAAGAGGAGGAGGTGGAGGAGGTACTTGTAAAAGGGTCATGCTTTATGTGTGTTGAAGCTATATACACACACATACATAGGAGTATAGAGCACATAGCTCGTGTCAAGGAGGGATTCTCGCTCGAGTTGTCTCGAGCGGGCGCGTATCGATTAGTGCCAAGCGGCTGCTGCTGCTGCGGCTCCCACTCATACATACACACATACACATGCACGCTTTATACACGTTATACATCTTGCCTCGTTTTTCACTTTATACCCTCTCGCGGTGCATTGTTTATCGTCGTCTGTATATTCTTCCGGCAATTGTCGTGAAAAAAGAAAAAAAGTAAAGAAAAACAAGACGCGATGATTGCGCGCAAAAGGGGATACAATGGATGAACTATATATTTCTCTTTCATTCCAGCAGTAGCAGCAGCAACAAAATGAAGCTAGACCTGAACCTGGACCGCGACAAGGGCCTGGAGCTGTTCGGCAAGTTCATACGCACGAAGAACGTGGACTCGCTGCAGGGCGGCGAGTCCCAGCAGTCCAAGTCCGGCTCGAAGCAGAAGCTCGAGGTAAATTAATTTTTTTCCCTCCTCGCCGTGAGATACATATATACTAGGTACTAATAATTTGGCTCTGTGGATGCGATTACAATTATACAGAAGTGCCTGACGACCCTCGACCTCACGTCGCTCGGGGTGGGCTCGTGCGTCGGCACGGGCATGTACCTCGTGGCGGGCATGGTGGCGCGCGCCGTAGCCGGGCCCGGCGTCGTCGTCTCCTTCTTCATCGCCGCGCTGGCCTCGATCTTCTCCGGTGCCTGCTACGCCGAGTTCGGCGTGCGGGTGCCCCACACCACGGGCAGCGCCTACATGTACAGCTACGTCACGGTGGGCGAGCTCATCGCCTTCATCATCGGCTGGAACATGATACTCGAGTACCTGATCGGCACCGCTGCCTGTGCCTGCGCACTGAGCGCGTGCCTGGACGCCCTCGCCGACGGGGCCATCTCCGAGTCGATCGGCGACACCTTCGGCACCATATTCGGTGAGAGTCGAGCAATTATTTCCGCGCTTGCGCCCCTCCCCCCGCCGCCTTGTGTATAAGGAGCGTGAAAAGCTTACAAGCTCTGTGGAGCACCTGTGGACCAGCATCGATCTTGTTTTTGCCCTCTATATGTGTATGTGGCACCTTAACCTCGAGTGCGATATTATTAAAGAGTAAAGTTGTGTATATACACCATCCGTTTCTATATAGGATACACGATAAACTTTGAGCGCCGCTGAAATATAACGGGAGCTCGATTCGGAGCTTTTTATATAAGCTCGAAATTTCCATGAAACGGTCGACGCCGGTAACTCCGGAGATTTTATGTACAACGACGAGAAAGTAAAGAGCCGTCGTTGTCTTTTTTTTTTCATCCGGGCAATTTTCGAAGCTCCGCCGCGCGCAAGCTCACTTATGTGTATGCGTCTCTTATCTCGCGCAAACTCGTTTTGCTGCTCCGTTTGGCAAATTGTATCGCAACTTTTTTTTTTATATCGTATTAGGTATATGCCGACGCGTGTCAATAGAGATCACTGCGAGGAAAAAGCTCGGACGCAAGTGCGTGAGATAATGTTAATTTTGTTTAAGGGCTCGTATGTAGGTACCTTTGAATCTAAAAATAATTTCTTCTCCTTTTCGAGTAGCATTTTTTAAAATTTTAAAATGTTTATTTTTTATAGTCTGTGGCAGTGAAATGTAAAAAGCGAGAGAAGAAAAATTTAAAACGCAAAGTACGAGAAAGATTTTCACATACAGAAAATACTGTACCTCGGTAAAAAAAAAACTTTTTTTGAAGTTTGAAAATGCTATGAAAGAAGTAAAAAAATATTTTTCAAAAATTTGATAACATCCATCGAGATAAGATCAATCGCCGCTGCAATAATTGATGTTTTACCTTGTTTACCGGGTTACATAGTTTATGTGTTTTCTGCCTCGTTCATTATGTATACGAGATCAATGGCCCTATACAATAAGCCTACGCGATTTATTTTCAATCCTTTCGTGCCGTGTATCGTTTCGTTACGTGATCAACATCACCGTAAAATTCATAAACACTACTTTTCGTCATTAATCAATGGCCTCCCTTTGCAATTACTATTCACAGGTCGACCGCCGGACTTCGTGGCGTTCGTCATCACGCTGCTGATGATGACCCTGATGGCGGCCGGGGCTCGCAAGTCGCTGCTCTTCAACAACGTCCTCAACGCCGTCAATCTGTCCGTCTGGGTGTTCATCATGGCCGCGGGCCTGTTCTACGTCGACTCGGCCAACTGGTCCGAGCACAAGGGCTTCCTGCCCTACGGCTGGAGCGGGGTAAGACAGACACAGAGCGATTTTATATATACACGTTATAATGAAATCAATCGTAAGCGAGGAGGAGGTGTCGACAGCCGCCAGCCTCGTAAAGCACGCGAAAGCCGCTCGTTTTTGCTCGCCGGGGGGTGATTGCGAGAAAAACGTCTTCTTCCGATCGCAGGCAGTTTATACAAAAGGGAGCAAAAACGAGCTCGCGCTTTTATCTCTATGAACTGCTCGTGGATATATATCACGATATCGTACGGAAGGATGGCATTACGTACATATAGAGATAGCGCGATGCGAGTAAGCCAAGTCGAGACTTTGGACAATCGGCCGTATGTATAGATACGTATATAGCACACACACACACACACACACACACACACACACACACACACACACACACACACACACATATATACGCGAGGCTAGACAAAAGGAGAACTTGTTGCTCACTTTCGAGCGCACTCCAAGCCTCGGTCGCGACTCGGATCGTAAACGCGCCGCACACAAGCTCATACACATATATAATCCACGCAGTGCTTCGTACTTTTTTTATATAGATATATATATCGTCGTTCTCTTAAAAGAGCAACTTCAGCTGGAGGCGCGATTGAAAAGATAAAGAAGAGGAGTAAAAGCCGGGCGATGAGATTCTCCGAAAGGTTTTAATTCGAGCGCGTGTCGATCGAAAGACACCGAAAGTGCTAAAGTCAAGATTTGCTTTTGATGCATATAATAGGTGTACATTGTACAAGCATAGACAGCGTTGTGACACGATCGATTTTATCTATCGATACTGTAGTGCCGACCTATCAATATGAAAATGATCAATATACGATATGTTGAATAATATGAAATAAAAAATTATTGTTTTTCACAGTATTTTATTCATTCCTCTCGTACAATATCAAGTATGCATCATTGTTGCATGATAAAAACGTAGACTCTCTTTGATTAAAGTCATTATCGTTGACGCAGTATCAGATATTATTTTCCATTAAAATGTTCGAATTGTAATGGCCACTGTTCGGCGTTTCTCCATAATGACTTACAGTACTTAGGGGAGAGACGGGCATGAGTGACACCATAACTTCAAACTTGCTTCCTGAAGCGAATTTTTAAAATTTTTCAAATCTGAAACGATCATTGCAAAGGGGAGCTCAAGCTCTATAACATATATTAAAATTAAAAAATTACAATGAAATTTCTATTTTTTATTGAATTTCAAAAAATTTGTCACAATTGCCCGTCTTTTTTCAATGGCCGGGAATTGTGCCATAGGAGTCGGGCACGAGTGTCATGTATATCATCATGCAAAAAATACATATATGTGTAGAATAATATATTTTTTTACTCAAAAACAATGAAGTTTAGAGAAAAAGTTTATGGAATAAAAAAGTCTCCAAATTTATCGAGAAACATTCTCAAATATTTTCAGAATTTTTTGAGATTTTTTTAAGAGATTGCACTCGACGAATTGTCGGATAATTGACAATCGTCTCCGAAAATTCTGAAAAAATTTGGGGCTTTTCTTTGATAAATTTTAAGACTTTTTTGTTCTATAAACTTTTTCTCTAAACCCAATAGTTTTCAAGATAAAAATCAAGTTTGGTTTTTTATAAACATTTCACTTGAGGGACGCCATTTTGTTAGAAAAAGTAGCTAAAAAAATTTAGGAAAATTCTTTACGGTACTTCTACATCCATAATTACCTCTCATCATATTTATACCTCGAATTTTATACTGCAACACTTGGAAAAAATTTCTTTAAGTTGATTTTTCGCACAAATTTTTACGTTTGTTTTTGTTTAAACAACCATAACTTTTTGACGAAGCATCAAATCTTCAATTTGAGCCCGGATTCTGAAAGGGCATTAAATTTTACATGAAATTATGTATGCGCAAAATCTTTTTGCGTTTCAAAATATAAAAAAAAATCGCGTCGATCACGAACAAAAAATTTCATTATTCTCGACGTGAATGGGTTATTGATAGGTCGTCATGTGACACTGGTGCCCGACGGAAGGTGACCCTCGCGCCCGGTTTGAGTACCTTCTTTATTTTGTTAATAACTTTTTTAATATTAATCGTAGAAGAATTAAAAAAAAAGGAAATTAAAGTTCAAGCTCCTAGCTTTCTAGTGATATAAATTTCAAAAGCAAAAAAATGTTTTTAATCGTTTTGCTACTCAGTTGAAATATTGGTTATATTGGATTTTTTAGTCAAAAATTTTCAACAATTTTTTTTTGTTAAAAAAAATGGATTTTGAAAATTTTTTTTCGTACAAATATCATAAATGATGAAAGGACTATGAAAAAATTTATTTCATAATTTTAAGTTGAAAATTGCATTTTTTATGGGGGTGACACGGTTACCAGCCATGTTCCACTTACCCGCCTCTCCCCTATAATATGATACTTTTTATTATCAGCATTATCTATGAAACTATCGTCAAATCTAAAAATTAATGTTAAATTTATATTTTATGAAGTGGAAAATTATTTAAAACTATTGATTTAAATTGTTACTTACTCGTAAGAATTGAAATTTAATATAAGGGGAATATTTATCAAAGATAAACGTATTTAAAAATGAAAGAAAATCTATTCATGACAATGACATAATTAAGCATCAATTTATACATTTGATTTCTAATTTCGAGTTCAAGTTGGCTATACTGTGTCGATCGATAAAACAGAACGATCATCAGCTGTCGCTTGAAATCTGCAAAATGGTCCTCGAAAATCTAACGAACAAAGATTTGTGTAATATTTGCGTAGCGGCTGCTTGCAAAAGTGACGAAGACAGTGAGAAAATTTTAGAAACAAATGAAATTGAACGCAAGAGCAAAAGGCCAGCGAGGGCCAGAAAAGCCCCAAAAAGGCTAGAAATTGTATGGTGAAATATTGCGTACTTGCTTCGCAGTCCGAGTTTAAGATGATTTTTGTGACAATTTAAGGAGGTTCCCTCGGGTAACACGCTAGTCAATTGATAAGACATTTCTAATGATTTAAATAAACAAGTATAATAATTTAAATAAAAGAGAGTTTTAATTTTCAAATTACACTTGATAGTATACCTGAACATTGATTTTTAAGAGTTCATAAGAGTTTTCGAAAATTCATAAAACCTTGCGGAGATTTGATTTTTTAGCAAAATTGTCGAGCTTTTTTTTCATTTTTTTTCTATATTGTTCATACAATTGCCCGCACAGTTTTTTCCAATGACTTTTGGCGAGCGTTGATACCGATCAATAGAGTTTTTAAAATTATCAAATAACTTTTGTCAATTGTTAATAACTGTTAAGAACTCTTCAAAACAGTCAATTGCAATTTTTTTTTAAATTTATTAAGCGATTGCCTTACCTGTATGAATATTTCGGAAATCGATTATCAGGTTTCATATAAATGTTTAAATTTTATTCATATCAATTACAATTCTTGTAAATAATTTTAAATTCTTTTTTACTTCGTGTACTATTCAATTTACAACGTGGATTTGTTAAATAGTCATCTATAGATGTTTTCAACTCTACAGATTTAAAATTGACTTGAAAAAATGTACGTATTTTGAATCATGTAAAATGTATACATTTTTAAGAGTTTTCAAGAATTAGATGTATTGGAGGTGAATTTCCGTAGGGGCAGGTTAAAAGTTTAAAAAGACAATTCCTCTTATTTCAAATTCATACAATCTATTAAAATCTCGATTTTTTACGATTCGTAGGTGTTCACGGGTGCTGCCACCTGCTTCTACGCGTTCATCGGTTTCGACATAATCGCCACGACGGGCGAGGAGGCGACCAATCCCAAGCGCAGCATACCGCTGGCCATCGTCTCGTCGCTCGTCATCATCCTCATCGCCTACGTCACCAGCAGCATGATTCTCACCCTCATCGGTGAATATACATACAATTTTCAAAAACAACAGTCAAAATGCCGCTATACTAATACCTGCTTTTTTTTTCTTTTAAAAATCAGTGCCGTACGACGAGGTCGATCAGGATTCGGCCCTCGTCGAGATGTTCGGCCAGGTGGGCGCGTACAAGTGCAAGTACATCGTGGCCGTGGGTGCCCTGGCCGGCCTCACCGTCTCCATGTTTGGCAGCATGTTCCCCATGCCGCGTATCGTCTACGCCATGGCCTCGGACGGACTGATATTTCGCCAGCTGAGCCAGGTCTGGCCGATGACGGGCACCCCGGTGCTCGCCACCCTGGCCTCGGGCCTCGCGGCGGCCTTCGCCGCCCTCATAGTGCGCCTCGAGGTGCTCGTGGAGATGATGTCGATCGGCACGCTGCTGGCCTACACCCTGGTGTCGACCTGCGTGCTGATACTGCGCTACCAGCCGCACACGACCAACCTGATGGAGCTGCTGCCGCAGAGCCTGAGAACGCCCTGCCGATCGCCCGAGCCCGGCCAGCAGCCGCAGCAGCAGCAGCAGCCCGCGGCGTCCAAGGAGTCGAGGCCCGATCAGTTGGGCTTCCCCGGCGCGGGCAGCTCGTCCCTGGGCTTGGGCATCGGTGGCGGCTCCGGGGCCGGGGCCAAACAATCGTCGGGCCCGCGTGGACAGCAGCAGCGAGTGATGGTGCGACGCGTGAGGCGGGCCAACAGCTCGTCGCCCGAGTCCGACGACACGAGCTACGACGACGACGACGAGCTCGGCCGGGCGATCAAGGACGACCAGTATCTGGTGGGCGAACGCCACGAGGGCCGCTACTACGGCAGCATGCCGCCGGGCTCGGGTTTCGGCGCGGGCGGTCCGGGTAGCGGCACCGGTGGCTGCTGCGGCAGTTTCCACTGGACGACGCTGCCCCTCGTCGGGCCGGCCGTCTGCTACCTGGCCAGAAAGTTCGAGGCGGCGCAGTACCTGTGCCCGGCGCTGTTTCCCTGGGTCGATCGCCGACCCGCCACCGAGGAGACCGGCAAGCACGTCATGAAGCTCGTGGGGATTTTGTACCTGCTCATATTCATCTTCGATCTGCACATCGTCATCTCGATGGGTCCGTAATACATGCTGTATATGAGTAATTCTTCCTTACTTTTAAAATCTAACGAACTCGGGTCTAGCTCGACTTATTTAAGTGAGACAGTACTCTTGAAAATTTACCAAAATATTTATTAGGTATTTCTTGGCATCCACCTTTTTTTTTTTTGAAGAAAATTCAAGCTTTGTCCCCCGAATATGGTGGAGTTGAAAATCGATTGTACTCTTGAGACCTAAATTGTACTTTTAAAACAAAAAAATTTAGAATTAGCTGTACTAAAAAGACGATCATCATATTTATTTGAAATTTTCCTAGAATCTTCCTTTTTCAATGTACTTTGAGAAAATTTAGTTTAGAATAGTGTATACCCATTGTTTTGAACCCTTTTCGGATGTTTTTTAAACGAAGTCGATTTTTGAAAAAAAAGTTCCTCGCTTATTTTACTAAAATCTTGTAGAAAACAATTGGTTTTTTGGAATCAGCTAACATGGTAAAAAAGTCCTAGCAATAACGAGAAAAATGAGCCCACACAGAACTTCGTGTCATTGACATTGACCCGTTCACGGATAATAGAACATTTTTTAATAGTACCGTAATTCATTAAGTAAATTTCAATGAAAATGTACTTTTTTTACAAGTTGAAAATTAAAAAATTTTAATTCCAAAAAAAACTACACATGAAAAGGAGTAACAGGCCTTTTTTCAATTAATATTTTTCATGAATAATAAAAAAAATTCATTCCTAACAGGGCGTGCCCAAGTTTTTGTGTCAGTTTTTTTAGAACTCTCATTGTAAAAGTACAGAGGAATTACTCATATGCTATACGTATAAAATTTTTTCCCCAACTAATTCGTTCGTGCTTAATTGTGTGTAAAAAAAAACAGGTAGCGCCGGAGGCTTTGCTAAGTTTCTTATGTTTGTGTTTTTCTTCGCGATATTTGGCGTGCTGCTGCTGATAAGCCGACAGCCGCAGAACCGGCACTCGCTCATGTTCAAAACGCCGGCGCTGCCGTTCGTGCCGGCGATCGCCGTCACGGTCAACATCTATCTCATCTTCAAGCTCAGCATACTCACCCTCGTACGGTTCACCCTCTGGATGACCATAGGTAACTCATTGATAATTCTTCTTTTTTTTTTTGAATCGATATAAGGATTGAATAGCTAGTTTTCGGACACTTGCATTGATGAAAAAATTGGAAATGTTCAAGTATCAAGTATTCTTTGAATGAGCAAAAATTAAAAATTTATTAACGTTTCAAAAAATTGAGACCAATTTTCAATCACTTTTAATGGCATAATAATACTTTGAGCTTCTACCGCTAGGTGGCGAATACCCTTATCTATAAAAATCTGCAAGTAGTAAAATAAATATAATTGTATAATAAGCCAAAGCACAGATTTATTACCATCCGAAAATTTTCCTATGAGCCTCTGCCTATGCTAGTTCGTATACTATTGTTATTATTAACGCGTATGTTATACACACAGGCGCAGTCCGACTTCGCTGTGTTTACGTTAGGAGGTTAACGCAGATTCAATCACCGTATAGTACGTGTATATTACAGAGCATGAAAAAAATCCTACGCCTGCAGAAACTTTCTTTAATTATTATTTGTTGTTTTTTTCCAATGATTAATGATCTTAGTGGTCTGAGCAGTTTTTATAAGCGATCCAAGTGGTTGCATATTAGCGCTCTTTTAAAGCAGTAAGTGGCTTAATATTTACGCGATAAGAATAGAGCCTCCGCTCACAAGAATAGCCAATAGGAATTTTTAGAAACGGATTGATCTTCGTTACTGTCTACGTTGTCGCGTCCATTTTTTTTTCTCACAAAAAAGTGATGGGCAAGACTAGGGGTGAGCAGTTTATATGAGTTTTAGATTGGTTCTTGAGCGTAGCTGTGACATGTATGGAATATTGACTTCGATTAAGGGCTCAAAGGGGGCTTAAATAATTATATATTTCTATTTATTGTATTAAGCTGAAAAAGTGAAAAAAAATTTTTTTTCAGAAAACAGGCATAAGAGCCTTTTTCAATACCCCATTTGAAAGTACTTTGTTCAGTTAAATACTTACAAACACATAAATTAACTTGTATCAGCCTATGAGCCTTCAGCGAAGAGCACTGAGGATATCTAAGCTGTTTGTCGTAAGATTCCAAGTGATGGCTTGACACGACTAAGTTCTATGTCATTTCATTTTCTTCGATGGATCATTATCCATCAACGCAACCTCAAGCTAAGCATAAGATCAACTTTGACTACTTCCACATACAATTTAATAAAATATTTTATTCATTAATGATTATTTTTGATAAATTTTAGTAAAATATTTTATTAAATTGTATGTGGAAGTAGTCAAAGTTGATCTTATGCTTAGCTTGAGGTTGCGTTGATGGATAATGATCCATCGAAGAAAATGAAATGACATAGAACTTAGTCGTGTCAAGCCATCACTTGGAATCTTACGACAAACAGCTTAGATATCCTCAGTGCTCTTCGCTGAAGGCTCATAGGCTGATACAAGTTAATTTAAGTGTTTGTAAGTATTTAACTGGACAAAGTACTTTCAAATGAGGTATTGAAAAAGGATCTTATGCCTGTTTTCTGAAAAAAAATTTTTTTTCACTTTTTCAGCTTAATACAATAAATAGAAATATATAATTATTTAAGCCCCCTTTGAGCCCTTAAGTGTTCGAACTTCGATCGGAGATGTTCACTATTGTCTGTACGCGTGTGCGTGTGCATTTGTGTGTGCGCGCGCATGCTTGGCCCATCGATTGTCATCCACGATTTGACAGTGAGCCGGGCGAGCACATGGCGACTTGCCGCCATGTGCTATACCCAGTTTAACCGTCGGTGTGAGCAGCAGCAACAGCAGTAATAACCGGGAAATTAAGTCCGTGTCAAACCTAAGTGAATTACGCGAGTGTTATAGTTTTTCCATTTGACAACCCTTTTTATATTGAGGCTGTGTACGTAGTGTAAGCGGTACCGTCAACATCATATATTTTTCAAGAGCTGCTACGGTAGTGATCTCGGCCGCACGTGCACGTGGTACTCAGTGATCAGTGTTAAAAAATAGACTCAAAATTTTCAAATCAAAATGTCATCAAACAGGACAACTGAATCAAATGAATTACACTTGCTCTCAAATGAATTAAAAACTCGTTTGAAGAGCATAAAAGACATAGACGCCAAGCGAAAAGAATATTGCCGGCTATTAGAAGAGTGGGATTGGAAATATGGCGTGAGAGGTACCGAAATTTTACTGAAGTTGATGAACTGTAAAAGCCTGTTTCCGAGCGTCGAGGATAGGCTTTTTTTTCTAAAAGTCGCTGTAACTGGCAGATTGTGGGGCTGGGTGAAATACTTGGAGGAGAGCGGGTTGAAAATACACGAGTTTATGTTTGAGGATGGAAAGTCTGCTCTGCATTATTTAGCGGGAGTTTACGAGTCGCTTGAGTCCATTGACTACAAAACGGATACCACTAGAATCATCACATATTTCTTTGAGAATAATCTACAAATTTATTGCGACAATCACGGCTACACGTACTTGCACGGAGCTTGCCTGGCAGGCAACGAAGAAGCAGTCAATGCACTGCTGAGTGAAGAAGGCGTGGACGTCAACATCGACACTTATACGCGTTCACTGTTGTACATCGCCTGCCAACATCGGCGGGAAAATTGTGTAAAAATACTATTGGAACATGGAGCGAATCCTAACAAAGGTGATCGTGAGCAGCGATCGACACCTTTGCACGCGTTGGCGCTGCCGTGTCTGTGCGATTGCGTTGCCTTTTCCGATTACTCTTTTAATTTCTGCGATTATAAACGACCGGTTGATGAGATCGTGAAGTTGCTCATCGATAAAGGAGCGCAGATCGAGGCACGTGATCTTCACGGGGACACTCCGTTGCAATCAGCGGTGTCGCGTTTTGACGTGGAATTGACGAGGGCACTTTTGAAGTACGGTGCGAGCTTCAGCAACTTGAACGAGGATAGAATGTTCAGTGCCAACTTCACATCGATCGAAATGAAGTGCTATCCTTTGACATTTAACATGATCCAGATGATGCAATTGTTGCAGTCAGCTGGTTACAAAATGGATTTTCTCACTAGACTCAAAATGATGAAGTGCTGGACAAGAATTCGAGGAAACGAGATTGACTACATAATAGGCGATGAGATGAGAGATGGTACGTTATTTGAGAGAACTTTACACTTCCAAACTACAAAAAAAGACTTTTTTTAAAGGTTTATTTTTAAAAGAATAAAAAGCTATACCGTGAAATTTTTACACAATGTAGTTTAACGGTTAAGGAGGGGGTTCATTTTAATAATTGTTATTTGAGAATTTTTTAAATAAACCTGCGCTCGTATGTCACCGATCTTGACGCGCTTTTGGTATGTTATAGTACATTGTAAAAAGGTCCCAAAACCAAAATTTTAGACCCCCTCCCCCCTCCTACGCCCCACTTCCGGTATAAACGTCCATTTTCGATCTATATTTTTTCTGAAGGCCTGAAGCAATTAAAAAATCTGAAAAAATTCACAAAAATACTTTTCTACAATCTGAACAACCTTGAATTTTTTCAGATTTTTCGAGTGCTTCAGGCCTTCAGAAAAAATCATTGAAAATTTTGAAAATCCATGTACGGCGCTACGATGCAATGCAAAGCCTGATCTTTTTTTTCACTCATTTTTGGCATCAAAATACATGACCTCAAATTTTTTCAGATTTTTTCAGACAGAACTCTGACGTCTAGAGCCGAAAAACCCTATTTTTTAACGAAAATAATTTTTTTAGGACGATACGAAGCCTTGAAAAATCTGGAAAAATTTTTTTCTCGTTTTTCTTCATCAAAATATATTACTTTGAATTTTTTCAAATTTTTTAAGGGGGGAAAGGTACCTTATACCTATATTTATAAAAGATTTATTAAAAATGAAGAAAAAATTTTTTTTGGATTATACAGAGAAAACTGTGTTTTTTTCACTCCTTTTCTAAAGTTTTCTTCTCTGGAAAATGAAAATTGAGGTCCCAGTCACTATAGAATCTTCTTCGATGAAGCAATTGCCCACAGATCCGACAGGTAGCCCTGTGCCGTAGGTTCCAGCTAGAACCGATGGTTCAATCATGGTCCTTGGGGTCTCATTTTGATCATTAGATGTGTGGTTACAAACGCAAGAACTTTCAGATTTTTTAATTAGTTATACACAATTTGCCAGCCACATATACACATTTATTCATTAATATATATGGGCTATTCTACAACAGGTGTTGCAGGCCCAAAAAATGAAGTTAAAAGTAACCATTTACTCTTCAAGAACACAATGAAAAATGAAAATCCTGAAGAGCACAGCCCCCTAGGTCCAACCCTCATGGATCTACAGGGGCTCAAAGTTGGATTTTCATGTTTTGACAATATTTTGCTTGTTACTCTGCTTTTCTGGGGTGCATATGAAAAAATTTTCAAACCATGTTTTTTCATGTAAAATTTGATGTAGAATTCAAATCTGTACTCAGATGAGACATTGATAAGCTTGAAACCCCTTAAAATTGTAAAAATATAGCAAAAGACCATCAAAGTCCAAAATAAATATGTTCGTACACCTCAAATCAGCCTATATTGTAATATGTTCATCGATACACCAAAATACAACTTCTGATAAAGTTTAGTAACTGAGTTTCCAATACAGATCATTTTGTAGCTTTCGAAAGCCCAAAAAACATGGTTTTTTCCTCATTTTCCATGTTTTTTGGCTCTTTGCAAGCTATCAAATTGTCTCTATTAGAGACTCAGTTACCAAACTTTGTCAGAAGTTGTATTTTGGTGTATCGATGAACATATTACAATATGGGCTGATTTGAGGTATACGAACATATTTATTTTTGGACTTTGATGGTCTTTTGCTATATTTTTACAATTTTACGGGGTTTTGAGCTTATCAATGTCTCATCTGAGTACAGATTTGAATTCTACATCAAATTTTACATGAAAAAACATGGTTTGAAAATTTTTTCATATGCACCCCAGAAAAGCAGAGTAACAAGCAAAATATTGTCAAAACATGAAAATCCAACTTTGAGCCCCTGTAGATCCATGAGGGTTGGATCTAGGGGGCTGTGCTCTTCAGGATTTTCATTTTTCATTGTGTTCTTGAAGAGTAAATAGTTACTTTCAACTTCATTTTTTGGGCCTGCAACACCTGTTATGGAATAGCCCATATGATAAAATGACAGATTATGCTACATCATAGCCTGAAAAAAGTGCTCAGTTGTTCCAATACCTTTAAAAGTGCTTGCGTTTGTAGCCATTCTCATGTAGAACAATCCCTGAAAATTTCAGCTCATTTGCTCAAACGGTTCACATGGAAAATTACGGCAACAAAGCAATTTGGAGATGAAAGGTAACTGTGCAAGAGTTAAAAAAAACAAAAATACACCAGTTTATGTCATAATGATACTCTCACGTCACTGAGGCTACTTTAAACTATTTGGACAATAAAAAACAGTTATTCAACTTGAATTTTCAACATATTAGACCCACAAGGACAATGTTCAATTTTATCCCAGAGAGATACCCAAACCCATATTTATAAGTTGTACTAAAATTTTAGTATACGCTAATATGGGTTTTATGTGGAAACTGGTAACTAAGTTGATTATGTCCAAATCAACTTTTCACACAAATATACACAATCTCACATTAGAACTTGAACTCAGTCCTCTACTTATTCACTCACATTCATAAAACATTGGATCTATAATTGAAAAAAAATCACTCAAAATTGATCTTGTTCATCACATTCAACAATATACATGAATAATATATATGATACAGTTATATAAGTACAGTGACATACATATACACTGATGTATATATGTCAATTTACATATGTACTGCTGTATTTCTTGAATTTGAACTGCTAAAAATGTCACATTTTCATAAAAAGCTATTGAAACATCATCATAGATTTATTATGAAACACTATGTTAAGTTGCAAAGATATAACTTCACTGTACATGTACTTTTTTCACTTTCAAAAAAAAGGAATTTTTAGCCATTGGAAAGTCAAGAAGCAGTCAGCAGACTGTTATTGACATTTGATCCGGGCTCGCGCACGAAACAGAGAGAGACAGAAAATATGCCGAAACCCACGTGCTACGAGTGGTGGCGTTACTGTACACCTATAGTCATGTAAACAAACAAATTTCTGCTAGATATACTCTAACCAAAGAATAAAACGAGTATCAATAGATGGCGCTACCGACTTATGAAAGTCTCGAGATTCATGAGAGAATGACAACGATATACCTTTGAGTTGTTTCATTCATTTTTTCTAAATAATCGTAAAAATAACGGGACTAAATAGGCTGTACATCACGATACAGTTAAAATTTTAGAATTCCGATCACGGCACTGGGAAGCTGAGGAAAAATCCATCAAAAAAGTCAAGAAAAAAAATTTTTTTTTTGGAGATTTTAGGTACCTTTCTCCCTTAATTGAAGGCGATAGCATCTATGACTGAAAAACGCTTTTTTTATGAAAAACGGTTCCTGGAACCCAGAGGTTCCGCTAAAAAAATTTGAAAAAATTTTTTTCGAATTCCTTGTCAAATTTTAATAAATTTTGACCGTTTCAAAAGTTCGATTGAAGCTTCCTAGCTCATTCTAGGGCATAACAAAGATTCGAGCGAGATTCTGAAGAAATTTGAAAAATAATGTAATTGTGATGAATGTCTTCAGAATTTCGCTCGAATCTTTGTTATGCTCTAGAATGAACTAGGAAGCTTCAATCGAACTTTTGAAACGGTCAAAATTTATTAAAATTTGACAAGGAATTCGAAAAAAATTTTTTCAAATTTTTTTAGCGGAACCTCTGGGTTCCAGGAACCGTTTTTCATAAAAAAGGCGTTTTCAGCCATAGATGCTATCGCCTTCAATTAAAAAATTTGAAAAAATTCAAAGTAATGTATTTCGATCAAGAAAAACGAGAAAAAAATTTTTCCAGATTTTTCAAGGCTTCGTATCGTCCTAAAAAAATTATTTTCGTTAAATATAGGGTTTTTCGGCTCTAGACGTCAGAGTTCTGTCTGAAAAAATCTGAAAAAATTTGAGGTTATGTATTTTGATGCCAAAAATGAGTGAAAAAAAAGATCAGGCTTTGCATTGCATCGTAGCGCCGTACATGGATTTTCAAAATTTTCAATGATTTTTTCTGAAGGCCTGAAGCACTCGAAAAATCTGAAAAATTCAAGGTTGTTTGGATTGTGGAAAAGTATTTTTGTGAATTTTTTCAGATTTTTTAATTGCTTCAGGCCTTCAGAAAAAATATAGATCGAAAATGGACGTTTATACCAGAAATGGGGCGTAGGAGGGGGGAGGGGGTCTAAAATTTTGGTTTTGGGACCTTTTTACCATGTACTATAACATACCAAAAGCGCGTTAAGGTCGGTGACATACGGGCGCAGGTTTATTTAAAAAATTCTGAGCCTTACCCATAAATAATATACTTTAAAAATGATTATTTAAAGAACATTCAGTTAAATTCTCAAATTAAAATAGCTAAAAATAAACTGACTATAGTAGATTTTCTTACCCAACTGAGAAAAAAAGATTGATGAAACTGTAGCTGAAAATCGACTCGATCCTTTCCGATTTTTTGCCCACTATTTCTACATGAAATATTAGATAATGACGTCGAGATATTTCGTTTAAAATGATTTTTGAGTTTTTGGCGTCAATTTGAAGTAAAAAAATGATTTTTTGGTCAAAATGAAAGTAAAAAGTTATCGTATATATGTTGGTAAAAAGCATTTAAAAATGCCAAAGTTAAATTATCTCGACGTCATCACCTCATATATTATCTACTGAAATATTGTATCAATATGAAGTGGATCGGTCGATTGGATTTTGAGTGCCAATGTCCATCGTAAGTTTTGTGTTTCTTTGAACAATTTATGTAATAAGTTTCATTGTGATCATTTTTTGTAGTTTGGAGGTGTGAGGTTTCCTTGTTTTTTACTCAATACAATAATTGCAATGCGACAAATAATATTGTTTTATATTTTTAGAAAAAGATGAACAGGATTCATCACTCTTCATGCATATTGTGGATCTTCAATTTATTCTCAATGAATTTGGCTTTTATATGGAAAAAAAAGTTATAGATTACTTAAACCAATGTCGCGAGAAATTGAAATCAAGATCATCATCTTGCCGTATTGGTTATCAGCCTCACGAATTGGTCATTCTATATTGGAGAGAAAGTTTTGAGCAAATGAAAAACATAAAGATAACCGAGGAAGTCTCTCTCTATCAATTTTTCCAAATGAGCTCTAGCGAGGGCTACTCGGTACTGAAAAATTTAAAAGATTGGCGTATCCCACCAATAGATTTACCGCAACATAGTGACCCTATATACACTTGTTCCGTTAATTTGATGCACATTATTGTAAAAAGAAACATGGCCAATATTTTAATAAGGCCATGGCTCGACTTGGAATTGCTCGCAGCCGATCTCTTTATGACTGACTATTGCAGCTTGAATCTGCCGCAAAACGTTTGTCTCGAAGTTGCTCAAAATTTGAGCGACGAGGACCTATTTCGTTTGTTCGAGCAGATAAACATTGATGCTGTTATAGACCAACAAAGCGAGTACGATAACAGTAGGATCAGATTCGTCAGACTTACATTGTAGCACACATCGATATCTGGAGAAAACGCGTTGCAATACAGTGAGAATAAAGTCTAAGCGCTCATATGTACCTGTAAATAATTTCAATTAGTGATTCTATTGTGGTGTAATAGTGGTTCTATTTTCAGTAGAAATTTTTTGTACGCATGAATTTTTTAAAAATAAAAATGACATTTTTTTTTAAATTGAAATTGTAACGAATTTACTTCAATAATTCAATCAATAACTTTCACTGATAACCTGTTCATAACAAAAATGCACTACTATTAGAAAATTCTTTGTTTACACATTTATAGGAAAAAACTTTATTTCTTACATTTCAGTAAAATAAAAAAATGTAAAGAACTCAATACAATTCAATTCAAGTTAATTTAATAATAATATAAATATGTTTCACCTCCTAGCGTCCGAAAACTAGCTAAGTGTCCGATTACCACCAATTTTTGCCTACAATCTAAATTCTTTGACTCTTATGCCTTCCATTCATTGATTCTCGACAGGCTTTCTTGTGTACTTTTATTACGGCATCAAGAACAGCAGCTTGGAGGTCAGCCAGGAGGACGCGGGCTTGGAACCCGGAGCCGCTGGCGGCAACATCGAGCTGACGATAACCAAGTCGCCGCGAGGCGGCAAGTCTTCGTCGTCGTCGTCCACGGGGGCGGTCAAGAAGCAGCATCACCACCACCATCACGACAGTTCAGCGACGACGACGTCGACGACGACGACCAAAGCCGAGATAGTGACGCACGAGCCTCGAATGGGCTCGATCGGTCAGGCGATCTTCGGCACGAGTTTGAGCGGCGCCGGTAGTTCGACATCGACGACGACGCAGCAACAGACACAATCATCCACGGGTGGAAGCAGCAATCCGTTGTTCGTCCCCCAGGACAGTTTTCCGACCTGGGACGACTGAATGATTCGCGTGATAGTAAAATTTTGAATCTGCTAATTAGGAAAATTAATACTATTGCCAAAGGAGAGAGAAACAGAGAGAGAAAAATAAATTACAAACGCGGGGGTGGACATTCAAACGAAACTTACCTCGTACGCGGCTAGATGCGGAAATTTTTAAGCGATCGCTTTGGATAATTGCTCTTTTAATTATATTAATTATACATATTATATATAACGATATGATATATATATTTTGATCGACCGTTACATTAACTGTATAATCGGTGAGTTAAAGTTGATACAGAGAGGTAAAAAAAAAGGTACGAAGGGCGGAGCAGGGCTTCGCGGCTGAGGTAAAAATGTATACAAACAAAAACAACAAGAACAAGAAAAAGCTCAAACGAATCATAGCGTGCACGTACACGTATATTTGCTTTGTTCGCACGTGCGCGACAACCGAAAAAAATGCGCTATTCTCAGTTTTCGCTATACATGTCTCTGCGGGCGAATTTTCAAGTATTACAAATTCGATAGCACATTCTATATCTGACTTTATTAAAAAAAGCGCATATTTATTATATACGTGTATATGAATTTTATGGACTGCATCAAAACATATCATTATTAATTAATATATATTATCTATGATATATATAATATCTGTCTGATTATTCGCAATTATCGAGATAAAAAAAAACGCAAGCGTGGAAAATCGGACGCTCTTCATTCTGACTGAAATATATACTGTAGTTGTGAGATTAAAAAAGGAGTGAGATTTTAGCGATGAAGGATAACAAAATTAAATGAAACGTTATTATTATATTATAAACTCTTCGATCGATCGTGTTCGGATCGTGCGCGCAACGAGAATGCGTTTCTGGTGTAGTCGACAATTATTGAATTCTTTAAAGTACGACTGATACTCGCGGTCAAATGCAAATGGTCGAAACGTAGGTTTCGGGCAGTTTGATTCGATCGGAAAATCGGCGGTATACATTGCGTCGCAGTGCATTGTCGGCGTAAAATATGAATGAAAAAAAAAAAAAAAACAAAACAAAAAACAAATTTTTTATACAAAGATTGATGCAACGGTGCAACGACAACGGCTCGTTCTACCGCTGACGAAAATGATTATATTTACTGTATATATTACTCCGTTGTTGAATTTTCGTTTCTATATCGTCTAAACTAATATACTATAATATATTGCATGGTTGTCTTACCAATATGTGTCTCGTATACGTCTCTCTGTAATATATTTCTTCTTTTTCTGTTTTTTTTTTTATTTTTTGTGCTTCCATCTTTACGTGTGTGCGTCGATTTTTCTTTTCTACTACTGAACTCGCTCGCGCGCCTGTTTTTCTTCGCCGAATACGCGAAGACAAAAGCGCGGGGAACCTAGATTCATTTTTTTTGTCGCGCTTTTTGATGCACAGATCTTCTGTGCAAAAATGAATAAATAGAGAAAAAAAGTAGTTGAGCAAAACGCGTAGCAATATTACCTTGTATTGATATATAGGATTATCTAAAAAAAAAAAGTTCAGCTTACATCGCTGTAATCAATAATAATATTAAATTCGATGGATCAAATAATAGACAGAGGGCGAGATACTATTGAGGTCGAAGAAAAACTTATTGAAATATTTATTAGGTGATGCAAATGACCATATTAATGTTAAACAAGAATAAAAAAACTATATCCATCATTTTTTCGTATTCTTATATATAATATACAACACATACGCGCACATTAATTAATCCTATTATATCTCGCGAAACACAAAGGAGAGCAAAAATAAACGACGAGGGTATTTTAAAAGCTCGCGGATTATCTACGGTTATAATACGTGTAATATCCTATTTATGCATTTCCTGTGGAGAAAACTATACACTACGTACGTTCCTTCCGTGACCGAGTAAAAAACCTTAATTTTTAATCTCGTGTAAATATCCATTGTGAAAACTTTTCTCGCGAGCCGTCAGCAGATTTTTCATGAATAATTGTAATACGCGTCGGATGGAATAATATAACAAATTTACTTGCGCGCCGCGTCCGGGTTAGTTTGTGTATGTATAAAAAAGAAAGGAAAACAAGAATAGAAACGAGGAAACTTATTTTTTTTAAATCACGCAAAGTATATCGTATATTTTTGGTGCTTCCTTCAAACTCCTGCCACGGATTTCAGTAATCGTTGATTTGTTGACGTGAAGATAAATGAAAAAAAATAAAGGAGAAGAAGAAAGACTCGTACGCTTCGGTCTTGAAACTGCATCCGTTAAAATATCAATTTTTTTGAATATCCGATTATCACACACTGCATACCAGAATGTATAATAGTAATGAGAGAGAGAAAAAGTAAGAAAAAAACGAAACTATGTAAAAGTATTACATTGTTATGAAATTTGAATGAGATTATAACTATAAAATTTGTTGCTCGTGAATTTTCAAATGATTCTATATTCTAGTCGTAAGTTGATCTAGCCAAGTAAGGAAAATTAAAACATAATTCAGAAATTATAGCGTTTATCAATTTTAATTATATGAAAAAAAGTATAATTGGCGTTCGTTTTTTGCCGCGAAGTGAGAGTAATATTAGACAGACGTAAGAAAATAAATAATAATAAAAAAAAAGTTCATTCCTTAATTGCTGTGAATAATGTAGTGCCTGTATCGCCAGACGCTATTACATAAATAGTCAAAAACGTTTTAGAGTTTCTCGAGTCCATCGCGCGTCATCGTCATTATTAGCGGAACATAATTACAATATTATCGAGAAAAAAGAAAGGATATATAAAAGTATTATATATTTAGTCGAAATGTTTCATGAAAGATAGAGAGAGAGAGAAAGAGATGAAAAATAAAATAAAAAATGTGCATTGATTGATTTGTCAAATGATGAAAGTATTTTATGACGAACAGAGTGTAATCATAATATTTAAGTGCATACCTGATGTTCAGAAAAGAAAAGCGGTTTTTTGATATGTTGATTTATATAAAGAATTGGATCTGCAAATTTTGTGTCTCGCAAAAAAAAGCCTGAAAAAATTTTAATAAACAAACTCGGCCTATGTAAAGGTGAAATTCTCAAAATTCGATCAGTTCAGTTTTTGCGTAATAAATCGAGTAATAGAAGAACGAGAAAAGACAAGAATTTCAAGAACAAGCGAAAAAAAAAATTAACAAATAGTTTTCTCTGTGCGTGGTTTCTGTAATATAATAAACAATATAAATAAGCATTATAAATTTTGAGGCATTTTGAGATTGTGTTATTACAAGCGGCGAGGCAAATGATTTCAGAATTTCTAGTTCATAAAAACAAATCATGATTAAAAAAAAAACTAAAAAAACAAGCAAAAAGAAAACAAAATAAATAAAAACTCTACGAAGTACTTGACTCGTTGTTTCATTTACGCATACAATAAATCTTTTTCTTTACTAAATTGTTATTATTTTTACTTCATAGTTGACTCGAGCAGTTGATAATTTCTAATACTTTGTTAAAGGATTGTTCAATTTGGTTCTTTGGAAATGTGTTCAAGTTGTTTTAAAAAATTTGTATGCATACGTATTCTTTGATCGATATCAAGAAACTTTTTTTCATAATTTTTTTTTCTTGAGTCGTTCCTTTTCGAGATATTAAATAGCAGAACTTCGTGTCATTGAAATTGACCCGTTCACGGATAATTGAACATTTTTTAATAGTACCGTAACGCATTAAGTACATTTCAATGAAAATGTACTTTTTTTATAAGTTGAAAATTAAAAAATTGGAATTCCTTTTTTCAATTAATATTTTTCATGAATAATAAGAAAAATTCATTCCTAACAGGGTGTGCCCAAGTTTTTGTGTCAGTTTTTTTAGAACTCTTATTGAAAAAGTACAGAGGAATTACTACAGAGGAGGTACATGGCTAGTTACTTCATTCATCAATCATTTTCATTAGTAGCTCTTTATCTTTATTTTCACTTACAAAATGTAATTAACGATGAAGGAGAGAGAGAGAGAGAGAAAAATATCGTGCGTCCAGATCTGATTTATTTTCTTTCGACACACATAGGAAGCCGAGAGACGCGACGATGACGAGACGATGTTGCGAGTCTCGTTAGGAAAAACCAGCAACGCAACGCGATGAATAATATATAGGATGTATGTATGTATATAATGTTATGCACTCAAAGCCCGAATACTAGGTTACAAGCTCGGCTCGTATAGGCACAATGACGACGACGACGACGACTACAACGGCGAGCAAGTGTCATTTAGTCGTTGATGTATATAAATAGGCGAGAGTCTCAATCCCTCCTCAGGATTGAATTGATTCAAATTGGATTTTTTTTTCTCCTTTGTTCATTCTTCGCTTGTCTGTTTGTCTCTTCAGAAGAGATAGTAAGTCTGCAACAACGACAAAAAATGAATCCACACATTCGTTTAAATGTATGTCGTTTGTATAAGGGGGGGGCTCACCCTTGGCGATCTTTCGGCGTAACACTTGTTGAAGGTGTAGGCGTACTCGCAACTGTCGCCGGTCGCTGTTTTCACGAGTGGACGAGAGCAAAAAGAAAATCGAGACAATTATCTTATTTTTGTTTCATTAGTATAAAATATAATTATTATAAACTCACCGAAATATTTGCCGAGGGCCTTGCACTCGTTGATGGCGTTCTGCACCTCGTTGCGATAGGCCGGGATGCGCTGGAAGAAGGTCAGCATGCCGTTGAGACTGAGTTCGTTCTTCTCGTCGACGAGGCCGAACTGCTCCCACAGGCAGTACATGTAGCACTTGAGCTCCTGGCTCTCGGGCCATTGACCGTCGCGCACCGACTCGATGTCCGCTGCAAGACGCAGATTCGCGAGAGATTCGGTTATTGCGTGGATTGTTCAAAACGATCGATTAGGGGAAAAAAGTAGAGAGACACACTCACCGGTGGTGACGCCCGTCTGAATTTGGCAGGCGTTGACGACCGTCGACGCGGTCTCGATCATCTTGTCCGACACGAAGCTCGGCCTCGTCTTGGATAACAACGAAAAATTATTAAGACGCAAAAGAGAACGTACAAAATTGAATCGAATTGTACATAATGCGTCGAGATCTATTTGCAGTCATCCGGTCGATCAATCATCGCGATGCATCATGTACAGGTTGTTGGCTTTCGCGTAACGAGGACAAAAAAAGAAAAAGAAGAGTATGAAATTGTTACACACTCACCCCCGCGTAAACCAGACTGATGGCGTAACATCCAAGAAGCAGACCCAGGCCCAGCCTAGGCCTCGGACGGACCGTCATTTTGCTCGCTGCGGCCGACCTGGAGAGAAAGAGAGACGCGATTCGCGCGAGACGCGTTGCTTCGTTCTAAGATCGAAGTTGCAATCGTCAACGGCACACATACACTCGCACGTGCACGAGCAGCGCCGCGGTATACGTCGGATACGAGTATCGCGTATATACAGGCTTTGCAAAGCTCTAGGCGGCCTCGGCGCGCTGCACTGACTACCGCTGTGCCGACAGACAGGCAGGCGAGCTTGCGACCGACGAGCGATGATCCGCCGTCGCTTCCTTCCCCGCTCGGCGGCGGTACACGAAGACGCGTATCTACGCCGATGACGATACTGTAAGCGTGACTCTCGTTTTTCTAAACGTTTTTTGAATACCGACTGAGTATCAATTTTCAGGCCTTGTAACGAACATTTTTAAATAAATAAAGATTCCTGTTTCGGTAGCCCTCCTTTTTCCCGAAATTTCGGTAGTACTCGTTCGTGCTCGTTACAGCTGCTATAAATGTGAAACATACAGCGAACAAATTAATTTGTGAACTCGTTATGGTTACGACATATTTTCTCTAGCGATAAATTCAAAAGTGAAGAGATTACAGTTAAAGACAAAAATCCATAAATTGTTAATCACAGTAATTTACAAGGGTACGAGACACAACGATTTTGGCATGAATTTCTTGAACTGATTTATTATTGATCTTCACTTGTTTGCTTGGGGATATCTATAAAATAGCATTCAGCCATCTAGCGAGCGGTTGCCTTACTTTCCATACGTACTGGTCCAGATGAATCTCGATCTCATTTTTGACGATCAAAATTTTTCGAGGAATTTTGATAAACGAGCATGCTCGACTTAATAGTTAGTAATATTTGGCCAGTCTGAATGTTCTACGAACACTCGATAGATACAAATCACTTGTTGGCTGTTCTATAAAACATTGTAAGCAAAGGGGTTTCTTCAACATGAGTTATGACAAAAATAAATTGTCACTAATTGTAGAAAAAATTATTTTTCAAATTCACATAACAATTTTTATATTACATTTACATCTTTTCCGTTAAAATATACTTGAAAAAATTATTTGTAACGGATAAAACAATTCACTAATGAGAATCTTCTTGAAAAACATTAGTGATCTTACATCCCTCTTATCTTCTTTACAAAACGCAAAAAAGAATTTGCCAAAATTCATGAACATTCTATAAAAAGATTAAGTTATAACTAGTATCCAACTGTGTTCATTACCTACGAATTGCTTGTTCCAAAAATTATTGAGATTTTTACAGTAAGCTGTTGTGACTCGAGATCCTTTCGTGAAACCGGTACCACATCGTCAGTTAATTTGAAATTAGGTTTATAAGAGATAAATAACTATGCTCCGTATTTCTCTAGTCTAAAGTACAAATTTGAAAATCTTGTCGAATCTAATTCCACGACCCCCTTTTTTACACCAATTATTCTTCCAGAAATCAATATCATGAAAAATGATGAATTTGTGCACGAACGCTCGTAACTCGATTTTTTATTTTTAATTCGTATATATAAAGGATCGATGTACATACAGTCGATGAAAAATTCATGTCGAGAGCGAAGGGCTTAATGGACTTTACAAATAAAATAAAAGAAAAAAAACAGATCGCGAGAGCACAGCATCGTGTGCACACGATGACGACGATATAAAAAATTTACATGTAAATTGTACTCATCATATATTTATACTTCGCACGTGATAGTCCCGTGTTGTAATCAAATATTACAAAAGATACAAAAAATATATGTATACAATTTTGCTGTCACTTCACATTATCGAGGAGAAAATTGATGATTGCAATGTATCGAAACTGTGCGTTTCATAAAATGTTAAATAAATGGTTAAAAAAATTTTATAATTTTATTTATGGAAAAAAGTATCGATCGATTGTAAGATGAATAAGTGCGTGCATTATAACGAGGTTTTTATTAACAGATACATTTTTATTAAACCTTTTACATTTTATGTAAAATTTATCCACAATGGCTCTTAATGTTCATTTTCGAATTCTGCGTTAATTAATTCAATTATAGTCATAGAGGCGCTGCAGTGAAATTTTGAGTTTAAAATTTATATCGTAAAAAAATCACAGATAAAGTTAAAATTTTTTCTTGAAAATGTCTACCTGCGGGTTTATAGATGTATTCTTCCAGAAATCGTTGTTAATTTTGCGATTAATGAGTATTAATTGATTTGGAGTTTAAAAAAAGATATAATTACATTGACTTGTAATAACTCGATACCAGTACTTCATCAATATTTATTTTTCTCGACAAAGGCAGATGTTGATGAAACGTTGCGAAATAGTTTTAATTAAAAAAGGCCAGGAATAATTTCAATTGTTGGTGTTGTTGAATTTTTTGTTGACGAGCAATCCTTATAGAGATTGCGTTTTTGAAATTTAAAATTATGACATAATAAAGGATATCTAATAACTATGATTCTGTGGTGGAAAGGCATAAGTCCATTTTTTTGAAAATCTATTTTATGATGAAACGCCTATATTTGGTGTCTACTTTAACGTACAAGGATCAGAATAGACGAGTATACCGTCTATCGTTAGTTGCAGCATCGTGCATAATCACCTTAAGTTTATTTCGTAAGAAACGAGAAAAGGCAAAACGACTTGAGTCCATATTTTTTTTCTCCGTATCATCGCTATGATGCTCCTTTCAATTTCATAAATACATAACACCGTAGGCAACAGCACCATGACCAAATTCATGGTCGGTTCCACCGTCGATCGCCTCCTCGACAACATCCACGAGAGCGAGCTGGAAGATAGCGTGAAGCGAAAGATCTACCTGTACAGCGCACACGACTTCAATCTGGTGACGTTCGAGGAGGCGCACAATTTCACCGAGGTCCCGGTCATTCCGGACTTTGGCTCGGCCATCGTCGTGGAGAAGCTCAAGGACAGACGCGGCAGGATTTACATAAGGGTGAGTGCGCGGAGACGAGATAAAAAAATGACGATACTATCGATGTATTTTTGGGCGCAGATGCTGCTGTGGACAGGCGCCGAGGAGCAGATGCTGCCCCTGAAGATCCGCGACTGTTCGGATCCGTGCCCACTCGATAGGTACGAGCGTCTGGTCGAGCACATCAAATTCCGCGACGAGTACAGTTGCGAGTCGGCGGCGGCGGCAGAAACGAGGCCGAAAGGTCTCAAGGTCGGCGCTGGTATTCTCCGCGACACGGACGATCTCTCGGCAGGCAGTAGAAGGCGCAGAAGGAGGAGATTCGACGCCGACGAGCAGCTGGCGGTTTTGTACGCAGGTCGGGATCTGCTCGAGTTCAAGTACGGCCGGCAGTGTCTCGACGATTTGGATTACCATTGAGTTCGTTTTCGTGATATAGGAAAATTTTTTGTATTTATTGGAAGTAGATGTGTACGTAGCTTTAATTTTTACATTATATGTAACCGGGCGCCAAACACAAGTTCTGTGAACTTATTAGTTACTTTCTATCGGGCGTTATGAGAAGCTCTGCTCAGTCACGAGAAGGAAGAAAAAAAAACATTTATTGATTTCTTCATCGGTGTTAGTAAAAAAAACAGCTGAAGTATAAGAAACTTTTTATGAGTTTTTTAAAATTAAAACTGGAATATAATTAAAACACAAAATAATGTAACTTCACATGATTTGATGAACTAAATGGTTTATTTATTTCGATTGTAACAATAATTGTTGAACAAAAACATTTCAGATGTCTATTAGAGCGTTACCAACATAAAATTTAATATAACTTTTATATTATTAATTAAATTAAAATTAAAACATTTTGCTAAATGCTAAGTTTGTATATTTATTCGTATTTGAGCTGCAGCTAAGTATTATTGTGCTGTTGAAAATTAGAAATTATGAGCTTTTGTCCGTGGCTGCCAAGCAAATACGCCATAAATCTTGGTTATATAAATAACCAATGATCATTTCGCAGCAGAGAATTGGCAATTGGTAACGGATCAGATCCAAAAAAAAATCCAATGCATATCGTCGGTAAAATTTTTTCGTCATCATCTCGCACAGATGATCAGCACATTTATTACCTTCCAAAGTATCGGGAAGAAGATCAGAATCATATTTACGCGTCAACGCGAAATAGTCTGAACATGTAACTCGTTTTGCCGCCTCTTCGGGTCGTAACCGAATCAGCTCGTAGAGGGACAGATCCGGCTTTATCATTATTTCTTTTGCTTCACTCGCGAAGAACTCTTTCTCATCGTACCAATAATAGTCGAATTCTTCAAATTCTCGGAAACCGAAACTCCAGTGTTCATCAAAACTTTTCATGATTGTTAAGGCATCGTTTCGGTCTAATACGTATCCTCTTTTTTCTAAGCACTCAACAACAGACAAAGCACCGGACGATAGGCGACATTTAAAATTAGAAAAAGACTCATCAATATAAAGTTTTTCACCAAAGTAACTCGAGTCGGGGAAAACGAAGCTCGACAGATCAGCGCCATGATCTAAAAGTGCATCGACCACATCCGGCAAATGATTCGCTACAGCCCATTGCAGAGGTGTGCGGCCCAAGTGATCCACTACGTCGACCTGCACCAGCTGATGTTTGTCATCGTTGATCTTGAAGAGTAACTGCATTACGTCGTCGTCGTCGTCGTACGAATCGTAGCTTTCACCGTAGAAATCTAAGTCGTATTTTATCTGGCAAATAATGTGCAGAGCTGTCGATCCCTCTACATTGGCCAAATTTGGGTCGGCCCCACGCCTCAGCAGCCATTTTGCCGCCTTCATATTGCTTCTTGATAACAGAACCAAATGCAATGGTGTGTTACCCTCATTGTCCTGAGCATTAACTTGCACCGTCTGCTGAATATCGTCATTGGTTTCGAAGAATAGCTTAAGCATGTAATAAACTTTCCAGTCTTCATTAATTATAATGTGCAGAGGAGTCAATCCCTTTGCGTTGCGTACATTAGGATTTGCGCCGTTTCTCAGCAGTAATTCCATCGCCTTATCCTTAGCGCGTATCAGAGCTAAGTGCAACGGTGTGTTCCCCTCATTGTCCTGAGCATTAACTTGCACCGATTGATGCTTGTCTTGTGTAATTTTAAAAAATATCTTTAGTACGTTGGTGTTATTGTATGTACTGCAAACGACATGCAGAGCAGTCAATCCCCTCGCGTTGGGTACATTAGGATTTGCGCCGTTTCTCAGCAGTAATTCCATC